ATCTCAAAGTACTGAGAAGGCCTCCATGAAAGCTCCAGTCAGACGACTTCTTCTTTCTTTTTTTTTTCTTAAATGAAGGAAAATTATAACCAAAAAAAGAGCTCTTTTGTGCCCTCGGGTTGTAACTACTTGTTTTGTTTTTGGTGATCTCTGGTAAAGAGAGCAATTCCTTATTAAACAGTGCAGCAAGGTAAAGCAGATGTTTCCAGCTGGTCTTTATCTGTAAAAACGGAGGCTTTTTAAGACAAATGACACACTAATTTGGAAGATTAAATCAGACTCTATATACTAAAGATTGGAAGTAGTCACATTGTTCCTGATGATGACTGTCATGTGCTTAACATAATTAAGATCACTAGTATTAGTAAACATTTGTATTTCATTAAAACGTTTTTTTAATGCTGCAAACACGATATAATGCAAAGCACGTTAAGAAAACAGAGGCCTTTTGTCTGAAAATATCCGGACTGAAATATCATTGCAATAATGCCCGTCCTTTAAATAGATGAGATTAAAATGTTGGCTTGTATCAACAGTCAGGAAGCTGGATACTTTTTTTTTTCCAAAGGAAAAAGGCTGCACTGTTTTCCTATTAGACAAAAGTAAAACACACAACACATTAGGGCTGCACGATTTTGCATAAAATGAGAATCACGATTTTTTGGCTTAGAATTGAGATCACGATTCTCTTTTCCAGTATAAATATTTATTGCACTTATTAACTGCACATCAACTTCGTAACAGTTGAGACTGAACATAAAAACAATAAATAAACATAAAAACAACAAATGTCTCACGTTTTGTTGTTGCTGCAAAATGTTGTACTGCTTGAAATTCCATCTCCACCGTTGCTCGACACTGCGTGTATAGAGCAGGTAGTGAAACAATAGAAAAATAGTTGCGGGACGGCACTGTGTAGCGTTTGTCTAGGGTGTTGATCATTTTCCTAAATCCCTCGTTTTGCACAGTGTTGATGGGAGCCATATCTTTGGTCAGGTCATAAGTAATAGCCTCCGTAATTTCTTTGTGCCTGCGGGAGTTCGACGGGTATAGGGAAGCGCTGTATAAGGTTCCCGTTATTGATGTTTGGGTGGTTGACCGGGACGGATTTTCTCCTGTCACTTTCTCGTCATCCCTGACGTGTTCTCCGTTGTTTAATCCCTGCTAATTTTAGCATCACACGGCACAGCTTCTGTATCACGTGGTATAAGGGTCCGCCCTTGTCATTTGTTGAACAGGAAGAGTGAGCGCTTGTTTTCATGCAGATTACGTCCCGGATCAAAATGCGGTACAATCGTGGTCGTCGTCAGATCGCACACAAGTATGAATCGAGATCGCGATTTTCTAACGATTAATCGTGCAGCCCTACAACACATTAATAATCAAATGTTCATGCATGTGCATGTGTGTCTGAATTCAGACTGTAGTACTGGTTCATGTGGCTAACCTCTGTACGTGCTTATTTGAAGTAGCTGAGTTGTTGTCCCTGAGAAACTTCACTTTAATTTGGTTAGATTGAATTTCCCACCTAGCCTATAGACAGTTGGCTAATGACCACCCTAGAGAGATACCACAGTAGCTTGCAGTGATGTTAGCCCCATTACTGTTCATCAAATTACACTGCTTCCAGTGTTTGGCTCATTTGTGAGCTCAGTCCACTGTTGCTGCTTCGACCCTCTGTTGTCAGACTGTTTGGGTTTAATACACTGACTGGTATTAAAAGCGATTTTGAATTGTTTGGGTATTCATTTTGATGCTGCATTAAACCACAAAGCTTTTTGCCTAGTTTTAATTGCCTCAAACTGAATGATTATCTGTCGTAACCGTACACCAGACTGTTCCAAACCAGTCTAAGTATTTAAGACTGATCCAGATGTGGAAAAGTGGTCTGGATGTATTTTATATTTAAGATGAAGGATATAGGTAGCAGGACAGAATGTGGATGTGCTAATTAAGTTTCATTCTGTCTCAAGTTGAATCTCTCCGCTCACATTAACGGCTCTGCAGTATTCAGCCAGCCATCCCATATTACTGCACTAATGAGATAGCTATTTAGAATTCTCTTTGCAGGGTATTTGTATAAAGCATTGTTCCACAGCAAGGTTTTGCAAACCCATTCAACCAAGTAGCTGTACATGTGTTGGAGTGCACTGCTGATAACTGTGTCTACTTCTCCTTTGTTTTCTCATTTGGTTGCATTAAGTCAAGAACAGAAGACTTATTTCTTAACCTCTCCTGTGCACTTTGTTGAGATGGCCTCTTTGAGACTTTGCAGGCTAGTGTGACATTTCCCATAGCTGCCTTAGTAAACAATAGGCTTGAGTCAGGCTAAAATCTATTGTATGGAGGCTCAACACTGGACATCAGTACACAGAAGTGTAGGTATACTTTCTAGAAGCATATAAATGAAGGCTATTGGTGTGGTCTGAGGCTTTGTGAGCATAATAACAATAGTGGGGGACTGAGGGGTCCAAACCCCAGTTCCTGGGGTTGTTAAAACAGAGCAGAGGTTTCTGACAAAAATTCCCCCCATTCCAGGGTGCATAGCGAAGAATATAAGGTCAAGCAGTGTTTCTGGAGCTTGACCCTTTTTAAAAACAGTTGTCCCTAGAGTTGTTAACTAAACAAATATGTTTGTGTTTGTAATTATTATAAAAATGTGCCTTGAAAGCACTCACACAAATTATAGAATTACAATTACACCAAAGGATATACTACACAGCTCTTACTTGCCTTCTTAATTGTACCACTAGAAATTCTGCCCATAATGGAACATAACAGCTATGTCTCCTAATGCTTATATGTTGGGAAGTCTATTCATAAAGTTATCACAACTTAAAAAATTCTTGACAAAGTTTCAAGCAGTTTGGTTTGTTACAAGTCACAATGACATCTGTCATTGTGTATATTAAGATAAAGTTAAATAAAAAAAACACCAGATTTCATAAAACGGTAACATGCTCTATAAAATATAGTTAAGATGCCTATTCATGTGTTTATTTGGCAGACGGGCAATGACACACAAAAGAGAGATCTGATCATTTTTTTAAAGCACAAAAAGGCCAAGAATGTAGAAAGACCCTCAGAAATATCAAATCAAGTCTTAATTAGAAAGGAATGAAGTGCTTATAGAAATGTTTCATAATAGTGTCATCAGTCAGAGGCAACAGAGAGGTTAGAGCTGGACAGAGAGTTGAGGACAGTCAGAAAGAGGAGTAGAGTCTGGTAAGTTTGCTGAGCATTTATTTCTTTTCTTAAATAAAGGGTACGCTCTTATTTAGATAACCTATTTGCTACCAGCTACAAGATGGCACAAGCAGATTAGCAGCAGTAAGCGGTGTTCTCTGAATTTCTTTAAAAGTCCTGAGATGCACAAAAAGAGAGCTGGGTTATCTCTTTTAGTGTTCGGGTTGTCCGTGTGGTTTAGGCAAGGCGCAGTAGACGCACTATGACTGCTCGCAAGCTGTGACTGTTACCTGGACTTTTCTCACCTCGATGTCTAATCTGTGTCTGGCATTTGCAAACTAACATCTAGAAGAGTTCAGGGCTCCAGTGCGTGTGTGTGAAAGTATATAAAATGGTAACATTTTTGGTTGTGGTGGGAATTTGTAACAAAAGCTGCTGAATATTCATCGGTTGAAGATTCTCATTTGTTTGGATTTCAGTTACAGTAAACCTCTTACTTTTGGGTGTTCAATCATTGGTCAAAATCAGATGTTTTGAAGATATCATCTTGAGCTTTGGGAATAAAAATAATTGGCAGATTAAATGATAATGAAACTAAATCTTAGTGGTGACTCTAATGAACAACATCCATTTGCCACTCAGTTAAAATATACATTATACTTCGCAATGGTTGTGTTTGCAGCTATTTGGGGTATGTCAGACAAAAAAATCTCAAGGGTCTCTGGCTATCTGCAGTTTAGAGATGGCTGCCATTATACCTTGGTGAGTGAAGGCTTGCTTGTGCTGACAAAGGTGTGTTTGTTTTCCAGTATGTACTTTGTTAAAGCCACTGGGGCCTTCTTGGCATTGTTTCCCTTGGTCAGCTAGTATGTAAATGCCTTTCGTCAGGCAGGAGGATAAGTGAAGAAGTTGATTAGAGCTTTAGCCAGGAGCAGTTGTTGTAGATTTAGTTGGTAAGCCCCTTCCCTTCTAGACCACAATACAACCATGCATTCCAGTCCAGTCGCTATGACTCACTGGACACCAGTGCAGCACCGTAACCGAGCCGCTTCCCTGCTGTATTAGCACTCGGCGCTTGTTGGAAATGAATTTAAAAGGGCTTCAAAGGAAATACTATTGGAATGTAAAGCTAATTTAAATATGCTAATCCCCAAGCACAACATAAACGTACACAGCAACAGCCCGCCACCCACTTTCTGTAGCCGCTCGCTGTGGAATGCCTTAGCCACAGGGGGTCTAGCAGTAATGACAGGCTTGTGGTGGATTAATGTGAAGTTATTTATTTCCGATTGAGCAAGCGCCCCCCTCTTGCCCCCCCCCCCCCCCCTCCCCCCCCTTAGAAATTGGGCCAAGTCTCCATGACTCCTGGAGATGTTCTGAGCGAGCAGTCGTAGACGTTCTATTAATGCAGTCCACCTTGCTAACATACCCAGACCACCTCATGGTGCATTCTGGGATATCTTCAGCCCTTTACCTGCTCTTAGCTAATTACTTTTTAGGCCCGCACTCGCACAGTAATTGGTGTTGTGCTGCTGCCTCCCCTCTCTCTGCTGCGCCAAGTGCTAGTTTGAGCACTTTTTTTCTCCTTCTCCTCTCTATCGTCCTTATTCCCCTGTTTTTTATCGTCCTCCAAAAGCCATCCAATTAATATGCTAATGAGCTGATAAATATTTATAGGGGTTTAAATTATGCAGAAAGCTTTCAGAGCCCGGTGTGAAATGCGTTGCTCGCAGGACTTCAAAGCCTTGCATTGCTAACGAGGCAGGGGCAGATTTGCATACGGCTTTAATCAGCTGAATACTGATTATGCTTCATTATAGAGTTGGAGGAGGAAGGGAGGGGGGGCGGCAGCAGAGTTGGAGGAGGCCGCCAGCTGCACTTGTCGTTTGTTTCATTCCAGCAAGAGAGGGAGAGGGCGAACTTTTTCAGAAGTACAGACAATCTTGGCACACGGGAGAGGGGGAGCGGTAGAGAGAGAGTGCACAGTAGGCACAGTAAAAGAGAAAAAGGGGCAGAGCCATATGAAAAGAAAAGCGCGAGCAGGGAAAGGCACGGAGAGCTGTTTGCCTAAACCCCGTTGGCTCTCTCAGTGCGCGTATCCCAGTGTTGCTCAGTGAACCGTGCGGTGGACACTGCCACTGTGTCTGTGTGTAACTCTGGTTGTATTGAACTCTGCTCACTGCTGACCAGTGGAGAGTGAAGAGAGGAGGTGGGAGAGCGCCGGACACCCTGTCGGTGGGCTTGCCCAGCCCAGGCAGTTTTACTTGATAGGTTCAGCAGCCATGCTGGAAAACGCAGGTGGAGCAAGAGCGGGTGAGTTTTTTGATGAGGTTGTAACAGAGCTCACCTGGACTGCACTGGTGGTCGATGTCATTGTGCGATTATGTTGCATTAAGACCTCATGAGTCTGCTGCTGGGATTTTGTTTTTTTTTGTTGTTTTTTTTCTGTTAGTTTTTTGGAGATTAGTATTGTTCAGTGCTTGCTGCTTTAAATGATGAATGCGACTGAAATGCTATTGTTCATTAAGAATATCCTGACGTGCAGTGATGGTTGTACTCAGATGACAAAAGTGAAAGTACGCCTGAAATCAGAGAATAGGTTCTTCTGTTTGGCGGCAGTGCCTGTGAGCATGTCTCTGTCTGGCTCTTTCAGATGCTAAAGTGAATAATCAGTCAGAAACTACTAAATGTGCAATGGAGAGTGGTGACGGGAACACCGGTGAGTGATCTCCAGCTTTTTCTCCCGTTATCTTCATTTTTAAATCAGAATGTGTTTAGTTTTACCACCTCATTCAACAGGTTTCAGAGTCATAGCCAGCAATTATTTGGACATTTTAGCAGCTCAAGTCACAGAAACCCCCCCCCTGCTGTTTCTCTTTGTATGATCTCATTTTGAAAACATTGATGGCAGCTTTCCAAAAATGCTTGCTAGCAGCTCTCTTTGTCATATGAGGCATTTACCTCACAGTGCATTATGTCTGAATATTACACGCTTAGAGTGAAGATCCAGATTCATTGCACAGCTTTGTACTCCTGCTGGGTAATGACACATTAATTGATGTTGTTGACAGTATTGTTTGTTTATGCTCTTAAAATATATAATTTTGTTAGCTAGTACAGATGCTGCCACTTTATAAAAATATGTTTTTAGAGTTTTTCCTCGTATTTGAAAATGGATTCTTCTTCTCTTGTCAGTGATTTCTTCTTTTTTCTTTTTTAATTTGTTATTTTTTGTTGTTGTTGTGTTTTGTTTTTGTGTTGTTGTTGTTGTTTTTTTGTTTTTTTGTTTTTTTTACGGCATACGTTGTGTCAAACAGCACATGGCATAAATTCAAATTTTCTTTTCTCAGGTATCCAAACCAATGGGTTGGATTTTCAGAGGCAGACGGTGCCCACCACAAGTGCAATCACTAATGCACATGCACAAGCCCTCCTCCAACAGGTACCACACTGTGTACAACATTGCATACTTGACCTTTTTAAGTAACTTTTTGTTTTCCTGTTTTTGTGGTGGGAGCACGTTTGGTTTTGGTGTAATGTCACACATTTGTTGTAGCCTCGAAAATGAGGTGTGAAGTTTGAACAGAGGTATGCTCATCTTCACTCAAACATGCACAAGCAGAAAGAGTTCATTTAAATGAGCCAGGCTCTCCCAGTGTCGCCTGGCAACAAGGCAGATTAATCAACCCTGTATGCTAATTAGCTGCTCTGTGGTTGCTCGGAAACAGATGGCCGAGAATATGCAAATCTATGCAGAATTTACATGCACTGCATAACAGTTATTTTAATTAGCATCTCAACTCTCCCCTCCCTTCACTTCACTTTTCTTGTCTCTGAAGGCTGCAGCACATTTTAAATACCCACTTTATCGCTGCCTTTCTAATTCAAATTCCTCTCTGCGTTCAAAGACCAAAGACTCATTTAAAGAAAGCCACTCAGGTAGCATGGAAATAGAACGTTTCATTGTTTTCACTAGTATGCTTTTTTTTTTTTTTTCTTTTAATTTAGCGGTGCTTAATGTTTGAATTGAATATTCATTGAAATTGCTTTTAATTAATTTCATGTTGGCTACAATGACATGAAGTTAAAACTCAGAAGATCTCGTCTAAGCCTCCCCCCCTCTGCTTCACCCCCACTAGTCAAAGTCGGAAGACTCGGGTGCTCTTCTGACCTCCGTCCAGCAGAGCGTATTGCCTCAAACCCAGCTAATGTTGGCCGGGGGACAGATTGCTGGAGTAAGTTAAAACCCTGGTTGTGTATCTTGGGGTGACACCCCCACACGGTCAATCACAGCTGGGTGACGAAACGATAACTTGGCTGAAGCTGGCGTCTTCTCTGCCTGTCTGCCTGTTCATCCCTGTGGTTAGACATAGTCTTTGTGTCTCTGCACTCGCCATTAAACCAGCCACATGACACATTTCATATCCAGCCATGGCCCAGGGATGGTTGAATGCAGCTGCAGTGCGATGTAGGATTGAATGTTTACTCAGCATGTGGATTTGAGTTTGAACATGACATCAACATGCTCATTTGCACTTGTGCCTGGCTCAGCTGCATGAGTCTCCATCTGCCTGTGGAGGACCATATGTGTGTTGCCACATTATTCAGTATAACTTTGATACCTCTGTTAAAAGCTAAGTGCAATACTGTTCATTAGTTTTCATAAACAGTCACTAGTTTGACATGGTAAATTTAAAATAATAATTAAAAAAACTGTTTCAGTATCATTTGTAAAGGTGTATGAACACAAGTCGGTATAATTAGAATAGACAGAGCTGTGGTCTAGTTCAGTGAACTGGAGCAGCCACCGAAACAATAAAACAATTGTTGGCAAATGCATCAAACAATCCGATCAACCTGCTGCTGTTCATAAAGCCAGACCAAGGCACGGGTAATTAAAGTGCCTCTCTTATCATACATAATGATGAAAAACCAATATATCAAGACTCTAGTGAGTAATATTATGCACACATGAATTGGATTTCTCTAATATTTCACTGCAGTATTGTACTAGCTTTGGAAGGCTATCGAAGTAAAGTATAGTGACAACACTGACATACTTACTAACTTATCTGATGATCATAAGTTACTTGTATTAACACTTACGTGTCTCTGTTTTCCTCCTGTCTGCCTCAGTTGAGCCCAATGCAGCAGCAGCTGTTTCTCCAGCAGGCCCAAGTGCAGCTCCTGGCTGCTGCCGTGCAGCATTCTGCCAACCAGCAGAACAGCACCACCGGGGACAACATCTCAGCCTCTGCAGCCACACCAATTACCCAGCTGCCCCTGTCACAGCCCATCCAGATTGCCCCTGTAAGGCTCAATCCCCTATGCGCCAGAGTTCCTGCAAGCTCTGAAAAATGTTGTACCGTAAAGTGTTTGCAAGCTTGTAGCCCTACACAACACACAAAAAAGTAAAGCTGAACATCTTTCCACATACAAACAATAGACATGAAAAGTCTGTGGTGAAATTAAATATCAATATTGTTTTTTCAAACGGTATGAAGGCCATATTGGATTATTTGAAACTGCCTTTCTGGGAGCAAACAAGGCAGCTAAAGAATGAGGAAAACATGCAAATGACCTAAATGACTCGAGCTTTCTCTCTTAGACAAAATGAACTGTTACAAACAAAATAGTCCTCAACATCTGTGGTAATGGCTTTGGCAAAAACGTTTATTCATCAAAGTAGTTGAGGACTGCACTTTAATAATGGAACTTCTACACTTATAAATATGTGGAGACACATTACACATAGCTTAATACATATTTGTTTGCTACCCTGTCAGAGCAATAGAAAAGTAGAGGTTGTACCAAATTACACATGATTAGAATAAATGTAGACATTGTGGGACAATTTTACATGAAACAAAGTTGTGTCAAAGTCTTTAGGATTGTGAGCTTTATAAACAGTTACATGGTTGTTTTCATATTTTTTGCAGTCTTTACAACAGCAGAATCTAAGTCTGCCCCAGTTTGTCCTGGTTCAGCCTGGCCACCCTATCGCCACGTCACTGCAGCCTCAGTTCATTATCTCACAGGCTCCGCAGGCCCAGCAGGGTAGGTTGATCTGTTGCGCTGCAGAATTACAAGGAGAGATGTACTCAAGTATGGCTATCGAAGCTTTTGTTTAATCTTTCCTTTCCATCCATCATCCCCACTTCAGGCATATTGCAAGCCCAGAGTCTTCTAACTCAACTACCTCAAAGCCAACCTAACCTCCTGTCGACTCAACCAAGCATCACCCTTGCAACTCAGGTTGGTAATGATGCAAGTACATCTTTTAAACTAGCTTTAAAATTGTCTTCAGTTACTCTGGTAGTGCTTACATTTGACAGCTTGACAAGTTTTTGTTTTTTTTTTTTTTTTAATGATTTATTCTCAATAATTTATTCTTTAACTCTTTTTAAACCTACAAAACAGTCACATTTGCTGTATTTCTCGTCTTTCCAGCCTGCAACCCCAACCCGCACAACAGCAACCACACCTATTCAGTCCCTGCCTCACAGTCAGACGCCACCCAAACGGTTGGATACTCCCACTCTGGAGGAACCTAGTGACCTTGAGGAGCTGGAGCAGTTTGCCAAGACTTTTAAACAGAGACGTATCAAACTGGGCTTTACGCAGGTGTGTGCTGAGAGTCAGTCAATCACCATAAGTTCAGTTATATTTTGACTTGCGGATGTGGGCATTTCTTTAAACTGCAAACACATGGCTGTTTTAATATTCAGATCATATTCAGATCTTTGTTCATGTAATATACCACTATAAATAACTCACAGGTAAATCTCTCCTTCTCACAGGGGGATGTTGGCCTGGCCATGGGGAAGCTGTATGGAAACGACTTTAGCCAAACTACTATTTCTCGCTTTGAGGCCTTGAATCTGAGCTTTAAAAACATGTGCAAACTCAAGCCATTGCTGGAGAAGTGGCTCAATGATGCAGGTTTGTCTCTTACCCCACCTGACTGTGCAGCTGATCACTCTTGCTTTCTCACATTGGTGCTTGTGGGTGGGTTGTGTATGCATACCTTGTCTTTACCTCCCTTCCTTTTCTTTGTGTCAATGCTGTTTGTGCAGAGAACCTGACATCTGACCAGTCCCTGTCGAGCCCCAGTGCCCTGGGTTCCCAGGGCATGGGCATAGAGGGAATCAACCGCAGACGGAAGAAAAGAACCAGTATCGAGACCAACATTCGAGTGGCCTTAGAAAAGAGCTTTCTGGAGGTGAGAAACACACACTTCGGAACTCCATATTGATTATATAAGGAAAAGTTTGGTTATTCAGTATCTGAGATGATCACATTATACACTTTTAGTCCTCCGTTAATGGTAGAAAAAACACAGTACAGCAGTTTCCTCAGTGCTGACAGGGAATCTCTGGCTTCTTTGCCCTCTTCAAGCAGAACCAAAAACCTACCTCTGAAGAGATCACCATGATCGCTGACCAGCTCAACATGGAGAAAGAGGTGATTCGGGTCTGGTTCTGCAATCGACGACAGAAAGAGAAGAGGATTAATCCTCCCAGTAGTGGCAACAGTGGAGGAGGCAACACCCCTATCAAATCTATCTTCACCCCCAGCAGCCCTTTGGTAAGACTGCCACTCACCAAAGGGATTCTCAGCACTGTTTAATACTGTGTTTAAAGTTTATGTGTCTATATGTGGATCACGTTAGGAGACTTAACGTAAAATATGGATGATGCATCTGGGTCTGAAATGTGAAGTCATTGTAGAAGTACCATAAGATTTCATCCTGTCTCTTGTCCTCTGTAGAACTCTACACGAAAAGAACTTCAGTAAATATTTGTCTAATAAGTTTATTCTTATAACTTATTTATTCCCTAGATTTACATCATGCATAACACAAAATAGTGTCCATATTGCAAATTTTAGACCCATTTGTAGTTAGAAAAAGCAGTGTGATTTTTAGAATTGTCCTGTTTCTCTGATCCACCTTTTGTTAAATCTAATTTTGGGATCATTCATCTTTTTATATGTACTGTCTCTGATTACATGGCAGGTCCTTATATGTTCTGTGGGCTCAGCTAGAATATCAGAATGTCGACCAATTTGTCTTTCGACTTGTATTTAAATCCTCCAATTCTCCTTCTTTTGCCCAGGTGGCCAGCACAGCAAGCCTTGATAGCAGCCCAACTATTACCACACCCACCACTCTGACTGTAAACCCAGTGATGCCTCTCACCAACACCAGCATCCCCAGTTTGTCTTTCACAGGTGTGTGCGTGCACTATTCACTTTGTGCGTGTGTGTATACCCGATGGTAAATGTTGATTAAAAATTCACTTTAATTTCTTTTTATCTGCCTTCAACAAGGCACGACAGTTGGAGCCACAAACACTGCATCTGTCATCTCAACTGCGCCTGTGGTTACCACAGCAACAAGCTCTCTGTCTTTAAGCACGTCCCAGACGAGTAATCAGTCCACGAGCACGGAGAGCAAAGCTGGCACGCAGGCGCCAACCATTGTCACCCAGGCGCCTTCATCCATCGCTACCAGTTTAGGGACGGGTCAGGTGATGGTGGCAGCTCCGGGGCTTTCGGCCGCGTTGCAGGGGGCCGCCTCGCTACCCAGCGCCAGTTTTGCAGCTATGGCTGCTGCTGCAGGGCTCAACCCAGCACTGATGGCATCTTCGCAGTTTACTCAAGGGTTAGCATGAGCTGTGTTCATATAAGATCTTTGTGAAAGCCAGACAGTTGTTGAGGTGTTGTTTTTGTTATACTACATGATCTTCTTTGTGTGTCCAGGGGTGCCCTCCTCAGTCTGGCTCCTGGCGGCCTGGGCAGTGCACTGAGCCCTGCTCTCATGAGCAACAGCACTCTGGCTACCATTCAAGGTGAGCACCTGTTACATGACAAGTCATTGAATTATGTCTGTGCACATAGTTTCTAATCAGAATTGCAAGTAGTTATGTGATTATGAGGTTCCAAGACCTGCAGATAAGGACTGATTTTTGTAATGTACAACCCCAGATCCAAAAATATTGGGGAGCTTTGTAAAATGTAAATTAAAACGGAATACAATGATTTACAAATCTCATCAACCTACTTTAAAAAAAAAAAAAAAAAAAAAAAAAAATTAATGACAGCCACTGTACAGCCAAGATTTCACAGCACTGATCGACATATTCCTTTTCCTCTGATTTCCACTCCCTCAACGCTGTGAGGAGTACTGACGGCTGGTTCAGTCACACTCCCAGGACTACTACTTTTCATTTTCTGACTATTGTTCATCTTTTAACAATAGTCAGTAAACATCTGGGAATTGAGAACAGTTGCTAGCTGCTTAGAAGTCCCTGGGTCATCGTGGTCATATTTTTGTTTTTGTTGTGATTTCAAGATGTTTGCGATTGGGGTTTGTGGATGATTGCGGTGCCAGCTTAATTTAAATAACTTTATTGTGTTAAGTCATTTGTTTATTTAAATATCAGTTTGAGGTCATTGAGGGTGTGACAGGAAGTTATGACAAAGCAATGTTCACAAACTGTCAGAAGGTTATCTCTTTTGTTTCTTTTTAAATTGCAATAGTTTAAAATTTATATTATTTTGTTTTCTTTAACAGATATTTTTGGCCTGGGGGAACGTCTTAACGCCAAACGACCAAATTAGACTAAATTTAGCAGAAGGAATGACTCAATGAATACAATAGCTAAATAAGTTGGAGTATATAAATGATTGAAAGGATGATTAGAAAAAATAAGGGCAATAAGACTGCCCATTATTTCTATAATTAGTGTAATGAAAGCAAACACTTAATGAGGACATGACTCATTTGCATAATAAGAACAGATTCATTTAAGCCACACCCACAAGGTTTTATCCTGCTTAGAGAAAATTACTTCTGCGAATTAAACAATTTATCGTGCGGTCTCAAAAAAATGATGATGGAAATGCTCTCCTCATTTGGTGAACCTGTGCACCTTTCTTACCTTTACACCGTTTCTTTCACATCTCCATAGCACTGGCATCGAGCGGCACAATCCCCATCACCTCTCTGGACGGCAGTAACCTGCTGTTCGCCAACACTTCTGCTGGTAACACCCCCAACCTGGTGACCACGCCGCTCTTCCTGAACCCCCAGAACCTGTCGCTGCTCACCAGCAACCCCGTCAGCCTGGTGTCGCCCGGCATGGGAGGGCTTCAGGTCACTGCCGACGGTCATCATCAAGTCAGCACGGCTGCTGTGCCTGTGCAAGCCTCGACCATTACCACTGCCCCCAAGGCTCAGTGAAGCCAGTCAGGCTGCATCTCGAATTAACGCCCAATTAATTACGTCAAGCACTACTCCTTTCACAACGTGTAGGACGAGGGTGGTACTCTGATATAGGCTCTGCACTTCACTAACCACCCCGCATCCTCTCCATTGTATCTACCATAAATTAATCCTTTTGCTGCCGCCAAAAAGAAAAGGACTTAACATAAGGGTGGGTTTAACTGTTGGTTTCTTTTATTATTTTTTTTCTTTATGATTCTTGGATGTTTTTTAATTTTCCACACAAACAGTAACCAGATGGACACTGTTGTCGGCCTGCCGCTTCTCCTGAACCTTGACAAGTGTCCAGGGAGAAAATATCGTCGGCGTCATCGAGCTGTATATACATATACATATATACATATATATATATATCCTCCTCTTTGCAGGTCAGAATTTTCTCTGAAATTCTTCTAACCAAAAACAAACTTTCTCTTCTAACATTCAAACTTAATTGATTTACTACTAATTTCACAATGTTCATACGGTAATCACTAATGGGGGTTTGTGTGTCGCTCTTTTTAATTATCTCTCGTTTTTGTTTTTTGGGTTTTTTTTTTTGTTCGTTTGGTTTTTTGTTTCTTGACAGGCCTTGTTGTAAATCATATCAAATTATATTTTAGAGACTTTTTTTCCCTTTTTATCTTTTACTGTCTATATTTTTCGACATTTTCCGATCTTTGTAAGTCTAATGTTAAGTTAAGATTTAACTATCACTTTTTAATCGTGGTTATAAGGCTTTAAAAATAAGTAATAAGTGGCCGATATAAAGGTTATCATTGCTTTAAGGGTCGGAGGGACGCGGCGCGTCTCTCCGAGTCTCTCTTCTGGAAACACTGAGTTTTACATGGGTGGTGGTGCAGTAGCCACCGAGCCTCTGTAAAACGACGGTCTCGGTGTGGATTATCGACACTGATAGAAAAATGACTGAAAACATTACATTGAGAGCTTTAAAGTGAGCTGCAGACCTGAGTCTGATTAAGGGTGACTTGTTTTGGTTTGTGATCCGTTGGAACACTGTACATTAAGTTTTGGACGTGGACGTTTGCGTGTCGTCGACAGCTCAGGCAGACGCTGAGAGTTCAGCAGCCGCACGATCTACGAGGCTCTGCAGTCTTTTTTTTGTGGAGGGAACTAATCATGTTCACCAAACCTGAACTGTGGTGTGGTGGCTTTGCCTAGATGGGGATAGTGTATTTGGGGGGGGGGGGTGTTTGGTTTCTTTTTTCTTTTTTTTATTAGAAGTACCGTCGTATCTACTTGTGCACAGTATCTGTACCAAATAACTGGATTGATGAGCTGCAGTCTGCCTGTTTTGGGAGGATTGAAATTCTGTCTCTTTATTTTGTTTGCAGTCGTTCGACTGGCTTACCTACTTTAAGATATACCAAAAATATTTGTTAAAATAATTGCTGTGTGTAGTCGGTGTAGCTTAGTCTAGTCAATATATTTATGAGTACAAAAATCTCTTCATAGTCAGAATATAGAAATGCAATATTTTGATGATCATTTTCCAAAGACTACATTTTCTTTTTTCTTTTCTTTTGTTATTTTGTTTGATTTGACCAAGTGTCTCATATTTAAATTTTTAATTGGCAGCACAACTGACCAAAAAGAGAGGGATTGGTGGGTTGGAGTATGAGGAAGTAGTTTCTTTTTACTTCTATTATTATCATTTTACTTTTTAAATTTAGTTTTTATTAAATCACCGTGGCCTCGGCCCAATGCTTAATCTGGTTTAATGCGAGCCGTTTAGTGGCGCCTTTTCCTTTCTAATCAGTTGTGGTAGCAGTTTTGGACTTTTCTGAAGCATAATGGAAAAGATCTGATTTTGGTTTTGTGCTAATATTCAGCCATAAAACAACAGCTTGAACCAAAGTGGTTTTCCTCAGTAGTTGCTGTGCCTGTCTTGAGCACACAAGTTGCTTTTCACTCTCTTAAATCTCCACAATTTATTTCTTTATTTTTCTCCCTCCTCAGTCGATACCTGATTTTCGTGATTTGGTGCTGCTGGATAAGGATCACAGAAACTTTAGCTTTAACAACTTGCTGCTGAGACTCCTGTCAGAGTTGAGCTGTCAAGACGCCTGCATGCTTTCTAATAGCTTTAAGACTACATCCTGTGAGAATCAGGGTATTGTAGTTCGCACTATCCCTGCTGGAGGGATCACTTATGTAAATCCATAAATACTTCACCTCCTCTCAGCTCCGCCGTTCCAAACCAGCATGCTAGGAAACGATATGCTGCACCCGAAATCTGTCTGGGGACTAGTTTAAAAACTCCCCGAACTTATCTTAGCCAACACAGCGGTGGGATAAGTACCGTTCTGTGCTGCACGTTCAGCTAAACCCCACACAAAAGTAGCATTGTTCTGCTTCAAAATGACAAACACAGCAATTAGTAACTCACTCAGACTGCAAGCAGTGAAATTTGTCCCCGTTCCCCTCTCGTGTGCTTCTTTTCTGTTGAATTATTTTTGACTAAATATACCTCAGCAGCGCTTCAAACATAGGTTCACCTTTTAGACATTTCTCTGTATACAGCATTGTAGAATGTATAATTACTGACTGGCTTGCCATTCAGCGTTTATACTGATGAACCATACATAGGAACCATTGCAAGGACAACCTACTACTGCTATTTTCTAGTACTACTATTTATGGGGTATTTCCAGGTTTAAATATTATTTTGAGATCCTTCTTGCCAAAGTAAAAGCCTTTCTCTTTGCAGCTTGGTGGGTGTGTTTTGTTTTTCTTTCTTTCCTTAACTTTGAGGCCACAAGAGCCCTGAAGAACTCAGTCGTGTTTCAGTGCTTGTTTGGAGTTTTGGAGGTTTGCAAGCAACATGAACCAGTTGCCACTGGCACCATAGGATGTTACTGAAATATTTATCTGAGGAAAGACTTAAGAATTAGAGAAACGATCTTTTCTTAATTCTATACATATAAATATATATATAAACACTTGTAAGATATTCATATTTTATATTTGAACCAGTATGTTACCAAGACTGAATGTAGTGTTTATCATACTTCCCCCCCCCAGAAAAAAAAAATCTCCCCTAAGTTTTCTTTTCATTTTTTTTTTTTTATTAAACTGTCAAGACCAAAAAATTTGAGATGGAGCTCGAGATGACGCCTCGCTGAACCAGCGACGTCTGTTCGACAGGAGGGGCTCGCTCAGGCGCTCCTGGCAGACAGGTCCTGTGGTTAATAGGAGACTCTGAAGCATTTGATCTTAATCTTTTAATAGATGTATAAATATATATATTTGGTTGAGTTGTTGTGGATTTGATTTGCTGTGCTGTCTTTAACAATCATTTGGTTTTTTTAATGTATTACTTTATGCCTTTAATTGTTTTGTATAGTGTGAGAGGGCAAGATCACTGGCTTTCTTAGTTTGACAAAGAAGATTAACATTATCATTTATGCCTTATTGTTACGTAGAAGACATGAGCATTGTAGCATTGTTGTTCTGTATGTGTGTGAGAGTGAGAGAGAGCATGGGCACCCAGCTCACCTGGTGCATTGTTTTCACTGAAACAGTACAGTGTACTCTGGGCATTTTAGAGCGTGGGATGATTATGTTGCTACCTATGGTTTTTAGGTGCGACTTAGACAGGTAGGAGGATATACCTGTGAGAAAAAGCTTTACTAATAATTCCAGCAGGCAGGTGTGTTTGTGTGAGTGTGTCATTTAAAGAGAGGCCAGGGAGGACAGTCTGCAAACCATATTGGTGCATCTTTCCCATCTTCCAGCAGGTGTTTAGACTGATTTTTGAAAAAAAAAAAAAAAGGGTGAGACAAGAGGACTTTGTTTTGTTTTGGGATTTTGTTTGAAGTTTCCTGACTGAGGGTCTTTACAAATTAACTTCAAGCTTTAAGCAAGCCACTGCCGAGAGCCAAGCCAGCTTTCAGTTTGTTTGGGGTCCGCTTGGACTCTCACGAACTGTCTGCTTGCCACTGGCTTTGCTTGTGAAGCTTCGGTTTCAGGTGATCCTGAGATTCTTGCGGATCAGCTGTGCATCTAACAGACGGTATGTTGACCCACCACACTGGTTTGCTGAGAGTTTTGGTTTTTTGTTTGTTTGTTTTCTCCTTTTACTAAATGTCAAAGGTTGCGTGGCGCACCAGTAAGGCTAAAGGAGCTGTTGTATACCTCATTTTTAACTCAAGATTGAGTGAAACCTGCTTTAATCTACTTATGAAACAAATGTTTTTAAAAATCATAAAAAAAAAAGACTAAAATACACCAACTTGTCAGTGGAGAAGCGTGTTCATACCTGTACTTAGTGAAGGGTTGTGGAGCCGCCACAAGAGGGAGACGAACTACATACCAGTACTCACAAAGAGGTGTAAACAAGAGAAGGCATAAAAGGTGAATCTGTGTGTAACAAGGGGCAAACATCTGCTGCTCTTCTTCCACAATTTCTTGTGCACTGAAGGATTTCATTCATGAAAACGTGAATTTTGATGAATTCTATGGACACCCCCCACCCCACCCCTTTTTTTTTTTTTTTTTTTTTTTTAAGTTTGACAATCTTGCTTTATTTATTTTCTCACTCTTGGCTTGGTACAGGTATGTGCACTTCTTCCCACGTGATGGCTCGCCGTCGCAGCCCGCTCTCGCTCCCCTGTGGTACCAACGATAACCAAAGAATTCTTACTAACTTGATTGTATGTGATCGACGCCGCCTCTCGCCCATCCCCGCCTCACTGCTCAACATCAAATCCCAGCTGCACGCCCCTCGATTCGTTTGTAAAGAGGTTGTTGTTTTGTTTTTTTAAAATTGCATTCGAATGTGCGTCCGGCGCCCCCTTCGACGCCTCTGCAGTGGTTTCAGTGCCTGTGGGCGGGGATCGGAAGGGAGGGGTAGCAGGGGCCGGGCGGGCTTCGCCGGCAGACACGAACCGATGCGGTGGTAGCTGGGTGATGTTTGTTAATACACACTGAGGGTTGATCCTGTGCACACTGTATCTGCTCAGGACTCTGTATGATTGTCTGTCTTGAGCGCTGTTGTCGTTTGGTTGGTTGGATTGATGTCCCACCCTCCGTCGTTCCTTTCTCAAGGACTGCGGCGAAAAATGCTATTCCTGCCTCTCAGTGCGTCTCTCTTCCTCATCTGTACACTGTAGTCCCAGGACATGACCCTGTTGTTGTCTCCAGGAATACACATCCTGCATTCGCTAAAACTCTCTGCTGTGTCCCCTTCCCTGTCCTCCTCCTCCTTCCTCTCCCTTTCATCTGCTCTCTTCTTTGACTCCTCACTACAGACTCTGATCAGCTGTGACACTATGCATCATGGTCCTTCACTTTGCATGGACTGTGTCCCTCTGACTCAGACCTCCTGGTCGGCAGGGCTTCAGTGACACTTTGTTTAATGCTTTACTCCAAGTGAGGTTGTAGGACCTCACAAGCGCTATCCCAAAGCAAAAATCCAAATATTTAACTTTTGACAAATGCAGATACCAAAGATATCTCTCTGTCCTGTGTGTGTCTCTGTTGGTTTCTCTCTCTCCCTTTCACCCTGCAGCATGTGTATTAAGAGACAAACCCAGCACTGGCTTTAAAGTCCCAGCCTCAGTAATTCCAAAGCTTAGATGTATATTTTGGTATATTTCTGAGAAAAAACTTGCGTGAAAAAGCGTCTGTTCCTCGTTTGTTTGTTGTAATCTCTTTTCTGTCACAGCATGGAACTAATTGCAGAACTGTCTTACTCTTGGTAGGTTAAAGATATAGTATTTTTGTATGTTTTTGGGTGTGTTATATATATGTGCGTGTGTGTGCGTGTGTGTGCGTGTGTGTGATTATCAGTTCACAGCCCAAGTGACCATGGCTTTCAACAAGAGAGAAATAACTTAAAAAAAAAAAAAAAAATCGCCAACCATGTACATATTGTGTCTGTGTATCTCAAGAAATGCATTCTGTAAAACATTTCACTTTGGAAGCTCGGGCTCATCTAAAGGAATGTGTCCCTGTTTTATTTCCCTTTTCTTACTCTGCAGTCTGATATTAATTGACTTCCAGGACTCGAATGTAATGAGTTTTGGTTTCCATTGTGGAATACAACACTGAGGGACACTGCTCCGATCTAAATACGACAAAAACGACAAAAAAAAAAGGCCTCCAGAGATGGCGGCATAGAGCTGAAAGATTGTGTAGGAGTTTTAAGTATGTGAATCAGGATACATAGTAGATTTTGATGCATTTGTCTGCTGTATTTTTGTTTTTATACACATATAAAGATAATCTTTTACTGTAAATGTACAGTTCTCTTTTGTTGTAAACATCATTAAACCATTTTCCAAGTGTTTTGACATGTGCTTTGTCTTTTATTGGGATTAAATGTGCAAATTTTAATCATTATACATCAGTGCCAGACAGATTTTGCTTCCATCTATACAACATTTAGGACAAAGATTTCAAAAATTGATTTGTTGGTACACTTTGGTTATAACGGGATGGACATGGTCAGTAACAATACTCAGTCTCTGCTGTTTAAATGATGAATGCCAAGTTGATGCAAATATGCTATGAAGTCGTCCCATGCAACATATTTAACCTACCATCTGAAGTTGTAACAGAAATTGAGACTCCTAAGACCACTTCCTGGTCTTAGGAGCAGCAGAAGACGGTGTGGTCTTCTGCTGCTGTAGCCCATTTGTTTCAAGAGTCTTTGTTCAGAGATGCTCTTCTGCATACTTTAGTTGTGTAACAAGTGTTTATTTGAGTTACCGCTTGCTTCCTATCCCCTCACTGGATATTTTCTTTTTCATCTCTGTAAACCCTTGAGATGTATCTGTGAGAGAATCCCAATACATGAGCATTTTCTAAAAACATAATTCAAGCAGCCAAGTATTATAAGTAATATAATTCGCACTGATCTGCTGCGATATAAATCCACCGGCTTTGGCAGGTCGTGGTAAGGGGATGTCCAGTCATCTCTGGCTTCAGTATGTTGCAGATTCTTTTGGCGCTGTGGGTTGCAAGGTGGAGCCTCCATGGCTCAAACTTGTTTTGCAGGAATAGTTGAACTGATTCAGGTTTGATTTGGATTCAGACTGCAGTTGGACTGACATGGGGGTGGGCGGCACTTAGACAACAACAATATAAAGTCTGGTCAGAGCCCAGCAGAAAGTTGCATTTTAAGAAGACTGTTGATGATATTCCCTTTATCTGTCTGCTGGATTTACTGTTGCTGATAACTGTTTAGCATTATCAGCTGCTGTGCAAGTACAACTTTAAAGATGTAAAAATGGTTACATCAAATATCTGAACTCATAAAGAGTTTGTTTTTAGCCTTAATGTAGGGTTCTTTGTTAGTTTTTATTGTATAACATGAGAGAAAAGCTTATCACAACATAACACAAATACAAAGTGACTACAAACTATTTTCTCTGACTAGACATTTAATTTAGAAGCAAATCCTCATATCTGAGAAGCTGAAGCCACAATTTTATTTTATTTCTTGTTAGTTTAATAAATGACTCGAATTGTGTTTAGTAACACTATTGCTGATACTGTAGGATGTCAGTGGGGAGACAGAGGAGGAACAGGACGAGGAGATGAGGTACTGGGAATCAAAGACTCAAGGGGGTCCCTCGCCGTCTGCAGTAAAGAGGTGAGAAAAGGTTAAAGCGCCACGCTGATGGGACCTTCAGTTCTCCTAACCGAGAAGAGTCTGCACAATTTAATCCATCCGCTGTGCAGATCAGTGATTCAACATGTAAACTCAGGCAGTTTATCATCACAAGGTCAGTAGGATGCTTTGATTACATGGTGTCTCCATATCAGGGGCGCCACCAAGAGGGGGCCACACCCCAAAATTTGTTGGCTCTCTCTTTTTTTGTGATTGTTAGTGTTCCTCTTATTAACAACACAAATATTTTAGAAATCTGTCAGAAATCCATCAAGCATTTTGTTCAACCTCTAAAACCAACAGTTCTGTCCAGGTAAATAACTGTATTTTAATTTTTAAAAAGTGGTTTACAATTTTTCCCTTTTTTGTACAATAGTAAATTTGAAAATTCATTTACAACAATCATAATTATACTTTAGCATTAAAAATATAATTTTGATTAAAGTGCTTGCGCAAATTAATTGATTAACCATTACAGAAACATGAAATATGATTTATGGTAATTATCCATACTTTTAATTTACAGCAGCTGTGGCATAAACCTTACACTGGGTGGTGGTCTAATACATTTGTTTTCACTTCAGATCCTTCCAACTTTTCTGTTTCAAATTACCCTTTCTCTCTTTTTTTTCTGTTTTTTAAAGTTTCAGCATCCTGGTCTTGCAGCAAACTTGTCAGGACTTGAGCAATACAGGTTATTGATACTGATGTTTTTAGCAACACCTGTGTGTTTTTCCTGCTCTGGCAAGTTCAAACATCTGCTGTTTAAATGCCTACAGGGCCCTCAGCATTGTTTCTCTTCTGCATAGAAACTGAAATTTTTGCAAGACTCTTGGAACCATGTGGATATGAAATAAAGCAGAGCGACAACAGCACTACTCTGAGGACAGATGCTTTACTGGTTAAATATTTCTGTCAAACCCTGTAAGTAAACAAACTTTCTTACCTCAGGTTTCTTTTTCTTGCCTGCTTTTTTCTACAATATGCAAAAACAAAACGAGAATAAAGGCACCATAAAATGTGAGAATGTGACCATTAAGAAGTTTACCAACAAATGAAGTGTCCCAAACCTTTCTTTTTGATGGGTCAAGCACCTCGTAAGGATCAGCATCTTTTGGTCTCTCAAGTTCCTGGACATAAATGAAAACAAATAACAATAATAATACAAAATTATACAATCCAATCTGTGGAGTCAAACATGATCAGGTCACAGAGCGGTTGGAGCTGTAGGTGAAGCTGTCCTTACCTGATAAATGCCATTTTCTTCCTGTTATTCAGCAAGAAGAGCACAAACATGAAGTGAAGCTTGAATGCACACACATCCTCACACACATTTATTTAATATCATTTAAACAACAGTTGAGAAATATTCACCACCAGCAGCAACTGTAAAGCATAAAGACACCGAAGAAAATGAAGACTTACAGTGACTCCCACAGATGGGCCTTTGGAAAACTATAGAGAGAGGCAAAAAGGACAAAAAAGTACAAATAAAATGTAGCACAGATCAATCTGATATAATAAGTCAGTTTGGCCTATCAGTGGCGATTAAAAAGACAAAAAATTCAGGCTGTTTATCTGTAATTTCTTCAAATTGTGACTGAGGCAATTTGTTACAGAAAGACAAAAACCCTCACATTTAGTGAGATAAATGCTGTTAAAACTTCTAAAACATCTTTTCCGGGGTGAAGATTAGTTATTTTATATCGCTGTTAAAAATCTAAAACTGATATATTTGAAAAATTGTATTCACTAAGTTACTTATCAGAAGAATTTGTCAGATTAGAGAAGTAGAAAATGTTGCACGGTTGGCCCTGCAACACAAATGATTTGCACTTTGAAGTCATTTAGTTAATTAATTGACTATTAGACTGCTACAAAGTCACTTTAAACTAAACTATCAAGGTATTAAATATTGTTACGCTTAGTTCTTCTTTTTATTTATGCACAAAAACACTTATTTCACAGGAGAGAAGATATTAAATATTGACTAAAAATAGTGTTTATTTTTAGTCTAAATTTTAAGTTTAGACCAACCAGACCAATAATGTGCATGTTAGGGTTGTTTTGCATGACGGGTCAAGACGGGAAAATTTCTACCTCGTCAAACTTCAGGGAGCTCTTGAGATGTCCTTTGTATTTTATGAAAAGGATGATTCGGGGGAAACGACAGCGCTCTTTATCCTGTTTTAAGAACTCTACACACACCACAAGCAACTGACCTTTACGCCCTGCTAATCTGCTCTGAGTAAAGCCATACAAATATTTTAATGGTGAAGATGCAGTACTGTAAACTATTTTAAAGACAAAACCAACATATGAGTTTAAAAAAAAAAAAGGTTCTTAATTCTGAATATTTGTATTATCTAAAGACGTCACAGAATTGAAACTGTTTGTTAAACAGGTTTTTTAAAAAAGTGATGTGACCGGTTTTAAAGTTTTTCTTGCTTTAGAGACCAACAGGTGATTTTAGGTGAGAAATTATCATTACATTCAGGATATGAGTGAGCTAATTAGTATTTCTGCATACCACACATCCTCGTTATATGCTTTCTGAAGCTAATAGTAGGATGCAAGATAACACTGAGATGTGTCCCTTTCCTCTGGACTGTTTTTAATGAAATATTACAGATGAATAGCTAATTGCTCATCTTTTTGTGTGTGAAAATAAGTGACACATACAAATAAATCAAGACATTGATGTACAAGCTAAATAACAGTGGCCCCCGTGTTGATCCTTGCGGGACTCCAGTGTTGCAAGCTCTTGATTACAGCAGCACATTACTGATCCAAACACACTGGTTACAATCTGACAGATTTTTACACACTTTACAAAGTAAAGAGTGGATCATGTTCTGGATTGGTATTCAGTCCCATGATGTTTTTCTGCATGCGCTGTAACCACCAACTTTTACATGGGCTTCTATAACTCACCTTTTCTCTAAAGAACAACCCTGTGACAATGATGCAGTAAATGATCAGAAATCCATCCAGGAAATAGCAGATGACTGGTTCAGTGAAAAAATTTTCTGCAGAGCAAACAGAGAGAGAGAAAAAAGAAAATTTTCAGCTGATGTTCGGAGTAAATAACAAGTTACTTATAGCGAAACGTGACTGAGTTCTGGGAAGAGAAGAACATATTTCAGTGAAAAGGGAAATTTTCATCATTTAATTCTGCTCAGCAGAAAACCTCACGTTACAGGAGCACAAAGGCCAAATAATATGACAATGGAGTAGAAAAAGAAGATTTTACGTGAAATAAAAACAGAATCTGATTGCATCTAAAGCCATATAGTGCTGTGTGCGGAAATATCTCCTATTTGATAAAAGATCATATGTGTTCCAGATAGCGGTGCATAAGAGATGAGAGTTACACACAGCACTGAGGAAACTACCGATACTGATCAGATTTTCATTTGCAGTAAATCTGCATTCTTACATCATGCGTCATGGCTCTGTTGTTTACAGAAGCTCATCTTTCTGCCACTTCTCAAGTCCAGCTGAAGTCACCCTGGATTTTGTCGGCATAAAGTTTTAATCCCTCGAAGCAACTGTTTCTGTTTCCTTGAGTAATTTTTGTTCAGTGTACGTATTACATCACTGTTCACTAAAACTGTAGGTTAATTGTTTATTATTCCTTGAAATTATGCCTTGTTTTTTCATGTAAAAGATGCCCAGGTACTGTTTTCTTATTGTAAAAAAATCCCTTTCAAATGTTTCACTATTTGAAAAAGTAATGAGGTGAGTCTGAAGTATGCCAATTCTCATCTGCACACTAATAAAGGAGATATCTAAGAAAAATACTATGGTGAAATCATATTATTGCTGGAAAAAACAAATATCCAGTAATGCAAGTGTAGCTATAAATTGTATTTTATTCTTAATAAAAAAAATATACTCAATAAAACATATATTTTTTATTTTTTAAATATTTTATTATGTTTAAATATTACTATATTGCTTACTTTTTTAAATGTGTGTTTATATATTTTATGTAACAATATTATTAGGATACATAAAAATGTAATATTTATAAGTATTAGTTCATTGTTAGGTTTGGTTAGTTTCAAAATTTTCTTTATAAAATTCACCTTTGGCTCTATTCAGGGAGAAACCAAAGGACGTCTGTACATATGAATCCGTTACATGGTGCATAAATGTTGTGGAAAAACAACAACATTATCTACAACATTTGTCGTGAGACAAATGAGAAAATTGAGTAAGACCCCTGAAACAGGAAATAAGAAACTACGTATATGCAGCTTAGCACACTGAGTGTCTTCCTGTCTGCACGATGGGCTGCTTTGAGGTTTTTGTGAGGCTCATTTATCACAGAGTGCGGTTGGAACAGAAGAAATGTTGTGAGAACGTAGCCAGTGGTGGCGATTCACTGAGGCTGCAACGTCCTCATCAAACCTCCATCACTGAGAGCTGCTTCAGGATGTAGCTGCTCTTCTCATCTCAGGCTATTTTTATACTTCTAAACAGGAGATCTGTAAAAGTGACTTAAGAAAAGGAAGTATACTGTTTTCACTTACCATTTAAATTTGCTTTATTTTAAAAAAAAAAGTAAGTGGGTTGAACCTTGTTAGGAAAAAGATAACATTTAGTTTATATATGATAAATTTAGAAGCTTTAGAAGCATCTATAGCTTACGATAACCCTTAAGAAACCAAAATATAAAAAAAACAAACATATTATGAATAAAACAGGTTATTTATGATTTCTTTCTATTTTTATATACAGAAATGCTTTTTGCTCTGTTTGTATTTATCATACCTATACTGTTTCTGCAATCCATTTCAAATATTCTAAGAAGCTCTAATGTTATTAGTAATTGTGGATTTTTAGCGATTTTTATACATTTAACCAAACTTAGCCTTGTCGGTTGATTTGTTTTCACTGTCATTTTGGTCATTAAGTGTCTGTCTCAATGCGCTGCTTTACTTCTTGGTGGCATAGATTCAACAAGGTGCCAGAACCATTCCAGAGATTTTGGTCCATATCACTCTCAGCTGCACATCCGTGATATCAAGCTCCCATTCCTCTACGCCCTAAATGTGCCATACTGGATTGAGATCTGTGGAGGCTGTTCGAGTACATTGTCATGTCAAAGAAACATATTTGAAATTATTTGAGCTTTGCGACGTTTTTCTGCTGGAAGCAGCCATCAGTAGACTGGTATGCTGTGTTCATAGAAGGATAGACGTAGGTCAGCAACAACACTGTTTAAACAATGCTTACTCTGTACCGAGGGGCCAAAAGTGTGACAAGAAAATATCCCTCAAATCATTGTACGACAAGCAGCTTGAACTGTGGATACACAGCAAGGCGGATTAGCAGGATTCAAGTTGTATGTGCCAAATTCTGACCCCACCATTCCAATGTTGCAGCAGAAATCGAGACTGATCAGACCAGGCAGTGTTTTTCCAATCGTTTCGAAATATTGTGCACATGACCCCATGTGAAATGTAGCATCCGTTTCCTGTCATTAGATGATGGGAGTGGCACTCAGTCTGGTCTTCTGCTGAAAATTCAATGTGTTTTGCATTCAGAGATGCTCTTCTGCAAACCTTGGTTGTGATGGGTTGTTGTTTGAGTTACTGTTGACTTCCTCTAAGCAGTCTGGACATTCTCCTGAAATTCTGACATTTTCACCTAGAGAACTGCTGCTCTTCTCTTCCTGACCATTCTCTGTAAACCCGAGACACCGAGTTTCTGTGATGTCATTGGCTGATAATAAGTAGTTGAACAGGTGTCGCTGACAAAGTGGCTGGGGTTCATAAATGACCTCACTCCATCACTTGTAATGTAAATGTGTTCAGACAATGAGCATATTTACTGTTGTGAGAGAAGTTTAGAAGAACATTTTCTTTTATCTGAATTTTTCTTTACACTACAATCTCCTTTTTTAACCTTCATGGTTCCTCTTTAACACTCACAGTGCCTCAATGGCATCGACGGCACCTCGTGTGATAGGCCTCATGATTCAACAAGCACTAAGTCACTTAAAAATGAAAAATATCACAGTATAGTTCCTTACTTTCTAATAAGACTGTAAACACGTTTCCTGTCACCTATAGCGGCACAAACACATTGGCTCAAAGCTTTTTCTTTTTTTACTCTTATGACGCTAAGTGTCATTTCTTAACCACATTTCAAAGGGTGGAAACTAAATGCTGGATGCCCTCTGATGTCTTCTTTTTTTTTATAGCCTTTACAACTCTGAAGGCATCAATTAGTTCAATTTTAGATCCTGCTGTTTAGAGGAGCCCAAGGTTGTTAAGTGTTATTAGGAACTTATCAGCTCTGAAACTGGCAGCAGCTAGCAGAGTCTTAATGACTCAATTAAGACCTAACGACTTAATGAAGTTCTCAGTGTTTTGTTTGGAGTGAGGGTCATTTTTATGGTCCGTTTGGGGCGAGGGTTCTATTTGCTTGTTTTTATTTTGAAAATATATTTTTTTTAAGCCAAATTTTTTTACGCAGCTGAATGAGAGAGGAATCAGTCTTCATGTCTGACTCTGAAATGTAAAGACAAGGATGTTTACTTCACAAAAGCTGTGCCCACTGAATCCTCTTAATGAGGAATGTGCCAGTAATTTTAAATTCATGCGCCGCAGCTGTTGTTCCGACTCTCAAAAGTCTTTCAAAGTCATTCAAATTATGTGGTCGATGTTACATTTCCAAAGATACCACAAAAGTCAGGTTTAATTAAAAAAAGAAAGAAAAAAAAGCAGTGTTAAAATAATGCACAAAGGTACGAAATATAATGAGTAAACTATTTGAATATTTCAGCGTAATAAAGCTTTAATGAAGAGCTGGAACAAGCTGATGCAAAATTAATGTGCTGCTCTATGAGACGGATCATTTTTCTACGCTTTAGGGTGCTTAACGGGGAAACAACAGGAGGAAAAAAGCATGTTAATGGGTTAAAGTGTGATTTGCTGTTATTATCGCACTATATTTTAAGGGAAATAAAGAAACGATGCCCTTCAAAGGGTTGCATGGATGTGAACGCAAAAAAACTAACAAGTATGCATAAGAATGTGTTGACACAGAGGCCATTCTTTACATTTCTTTACTGCTGTAGGAGTCTTTACTGCATTCAAGCGTACGGCAAAAAAATTCTCCCGTAACGGTTTCGCATGCATCAGCTGGAGGATGGGGGGATTATTTATTCATGCATGCTTTTGTTTCTCTAATGCCTTCATCACGATGAATCTGACTGAAGCACAAGACAGCACTTGAAAGCGTTTGTAAAACTGTGGCATAAAAGAGAAAGTCTGGGAAGCGTCAAATTCACGCAAACATAATCTGCCTATAAAAAGTCCATAGAAGAGCTGCCCTGTATTTATTGATGCACGGAGCAACAGGTAAGTCATTCGAGAGAGCAGGGTAAAATGCAAAAGGCCAATGTGCTTCTGCAGCACGTACTGTCCAAGAGAGTTAAAAATGTTTATTTAGTGTATTTAAATTTAACTTGAGTCACTAGGGGACAGCGGTCGTGTTAGTCATTCTCAACTACTTTGATTCAAATGTTCAGAATATGGACAGATATTTTTAGAATATTGAATGGAAAATACAAAAGTTCCCTCGTGTTTAATTTCCTTAATGTGTAAGAGAAGCTTAGCTACTTTTTCCATCCAACATAAAGCTACACAGTGAATATAAATCTCCTCTAATCATGACTCACTTGCTGCTTTGAACTGAAACACTGAAAAAGTGATGACATATTTTGTCCCAGTGTAGATGCATTTCTCCAAAAGCTACCAGATCCTCAACTATGAATGTAAATGTACATGTGAAAAATTGTTGTAGGTTTACAGCTTTGTTGTAGCAATGGTAAGAATTTGAAAAATGAAATAACGCTTTAAGATAAATGTTAATGTTTTAAATAAATGGTATAACTCAAGTAAAACCACTACAGCGCATGAATAAATGTACTTACTGAGATTTTAAAAAAACAAAGAACTGTGTTTAAAGAATTTCGTTTGGAGGTTTTTAATGCCAGAGAGCTTATGTTTGTCTTTTCAGTCAGATAGACAGTTTAAGCTTCTTTTTTTCACATGCAGGAAAATCATTACATTATTGTTTTTTAAAGCAGCTGTTTTGCATTTGTCTGACTTACCAGAACAGGAAACAGGCACCGCTAGTACGGAAAGCGCAAACACACCTTTCCCCAGTGTGTCCATGGCTCTCTGTCTGTAAAAACAAGCCTATCTATCTTATGACAGCTATGCTTCTGGTTTCCTCACACTAATCTCTGATCACTGTGATCAGAGGAAGTGGCTGAACTGACAACCTACCAATGGACTGAGACTGGGGCTGTCTGCACTTCAAAGCATTTTATAACCTTCAACGCCCACTGTAGGTCTCACTGACGAAGCTGGGTTTTGTTCAAATGTTTTCCTAAAAGCATGATTTTAGCATGAATGATGGGCTCATATTGTGCCTTTAAACCTTTTAAAACAACTTTTTCTTCTTTAACCAGCAGCTCTGCTTTTTGGGTCAGAGGAAGTCTATCTTAGGCAGTAATGAGGAGATACACTGTATCAGATACACTGATACATGCTGGATGATTTGGACAAGTGGAAACATGTTAAAAGGAAATTAAAACAAAAAAAACTCTCAAACTTGTGGCATGGATAGCAGCTAGATTGAGAATGAGTAACTACCAAGAAGCATATGTGGGTTAAGTTTTAGAAGGTAATACATGCAGGCTTTAAGTTATTTAACTTCATGTTCAGAAAAGTGTATGAGTGTTTTATTACACATCATAACACTTTTATCATTCGGTCATCATCCATAAAATTGTTATTTTATTGTTGGGAATATTGTTTGTATCTATGGCAACATTCTCCTCATGTGACATAATTATAGCTAAATTGTATGTAGTTCACACGATTTTAATAAACATTAATCTTGTAATATCGGCTGTATTACAGCTTATCTAAAATATATGAAGTGTTTATGTGCTAAGTTTGATGTAATGATCTATTTTGTGGTGTTCTGCTGTAAATATGTAGATTATGAAAATCATGTAGAACAAATCTACGTAATGTAAAGTTAGACAAATATTCTTCTTACGTAACACTGCACGAACCGTTCTATACTCAGACTGTGATGTCCCAGATGTGTCTGCTGTTTAACAGGGGATATGTTTAAGTAGCTCAAAGGTCAAAAGACAGGTTGTGAGTGTGTGGGTAAAGGAAAAGGTTTCAGACATGAGCCCTCTGCATCGCGTCTGTCTCACGTTGCATTATAACACTGATCTGTGACACTGAAGGAAACTACTGTACTAACATGTAGATAGATGAGGCCAGGTTAAGGCACAAGTACGAGACTTGAGTTTCACATTGGTGTGCAGATTGTGCAGGGATGTCTGACTGAGGTTTTGCCTCAGGAACACTGACACTGAGGGACATAAAGAGGGATTTACATTCAGCAAAATACATTTTTCCAGTTCAACTTGATTCTATTTCAGAATTTATGTAGGATTTTTTTTCATAAGACTAATAAAGGGGAAACAACTTCTTTTTTTGGGAAACATGTTTTCTTTATGAATTCAGAACAATTTAGATTTGTTGCGTCATTTCTTTGAAGTTCAAATACTTCCCTTTTTCATTTGTATTTACATTATTTTATTACTCTGTTCATGAAATCCAAACGAGTGTAAAATATATGCTGCTAATACTGCTATTCAGAGTTAAACAGGTTGGTCTTGTAACTGGACGGTTTTTTTTTATTTAGTAAAGGAATAGTTGCTGTGTTGCAGGGGATGTTTACAGCTTCCTGGAGTCTTGTCATCAAAGTGAGGCTGTTAAGGTTGCCAGGCAACACTATTACAGCTGGAGTGCTAAACTGTTTTAGAACGAATCACGTCTACATGTGTCTGCACATTATATACATTTTCAAAATAGATAATGATATAGCCTAAAGTGAAAAATCTTAGCTTTTATTTGAAAATATTTGTATCCAAATTGGAGGAAGGGTTTTTGGAATAAAGGCTTTTTAATATATAGCCATCTCTTGTTTAAGGCCTTAATACAAATGCAGGTGTTAAAAAAAATGAAAAATCTGCTTCATGGAAAGGTATCTTTCTTTGTTATGGCTTCATTAATTAAGCAGCAGACTTCATTCCAGTGTGGTATTTGAAAGGTAATGCTGTGAGCCTGCAAGACAAGCTGCACTCAAAGGAGCTCTTAATCTATGACGCAGGGTGAAAAACAAAACAAATCTGTCAAAGAGAGGAAGAACATTGAGTGGCCAAATCAAGAAGAATAAAAGAACATACTGGGTCAGCTTGGGGAGATTAAAAAAAGGCCTGGATAGCCATAGAAGAAAGGTGTCTTTGTATGGAGCAGAAAAGCTCCTTCATAACATCCATCCAAAGTGAAGAAGACTCTCCAGGTGGGAGGCCTATACTATACAAGTCTACAATACAGAGAAGCCTTGCAAAAGAACGTGCACAGGGTTCAACACAAAGTTCAAATGAATAATCAGTCCCAGGCATCTAGTCAAACTAGCTCTGGAACAGTGTTCATTGTTCAATGCATTTTTCTTTTAAGTCATTGTGAGCTCATGAAATCAGGGTTCATAACAATGGCTCTAATCCCTCCAAATGCATTCTTTGTGTGCAGAACATTAAATTGAAGCTCAAAGTTTTCCACTTTAATTTTCTCTTGTGGTGCCATGTGCAGGGGTGTCTCCAGAATTTTTTCATAGAGGTGGCCATATGGGGACCACTAAAAATATTGGGGTGGCACCCCAACAACAGAATGTCCCGTTTTATTGTGCTGTTATCAAATATAGGTCACTCGAAAATTATGATTAAAAAAAGAGAGAAAGTAAAGAATTATATGCCCAATTAATGACCTGGGGATTAACTGGGCAAATTTGGGGGGGGGTGGCCAGTGATCCGCCAGGCCAACCCTAGGTGGCGCCCCTGGTCATGGAGCCAGAATTATGAAAACGGTCATACTCTCTGTCTCCACCTCAAACTGCAGATGGTCACTGACTCTACAGAGGCAAGTTATTTCCTCTTGTTTCAAGTCTTTGTGCTGAGATGTGACTTCCTTTCAGTTCACAGCCTGGATACGCAGACATGAAAAAAACATCCTTTTATCTCATTCCTGGAAAACCGACACATTTCTTAAACTGATACATGATTGTTTTAACACAGTCCTTCACAACAGCACTTTTTAGACACACACAACTCTGTGTATCCCCTCCTGCTGTAACAACGCTGTATGAAAAGCAGGTGCAAAAACTGTTGCACAACTACATTCATATGTGAAGTATGATACCTGAATGCTGCACTATTTGAATATACACACATATCTACAGTCCACCCCTTCTGGTCGGTCCAGTTTAAAATAAATACCTTTCAGTGGTGAGGGCTAGGAAAAAGGGATGTGTGTTTCCTTACAGCAGGGGTCGGCAACCTTTCTGATGATGTGTGCCATCTAAAATTTCCTCAGAAGTCAGTGTGCCATATGATTACATTAGCAATAAATTTAATAACGCGCTATATTAACAGTTACACACTATATAGAACCACTTTATAGAATTATATTTGTTTGCAGATGTTGGCTGCTATCAGCAAATATTTATCAGCTATTTTGAAACAAAAAAAGACACTTTTTATCCATAACAAGAACTCCATAACAGCAAATGAACTGTACAACAGAAAATGCAAATGCTATTCATGGTCTCCTCACAACAATGATAAGAAAATGTTCTGCAATGTTCTGAAGACAGTTAAACTTGTCAGGTAGTGATGTCCAACAGGTGAAAATGCAAGCTCCATGAACACGCACAGCTGTGGATTCCAGCTGGGTTCGTAGTTCTGCAAACTTTGACCCCCACAGAGTCAAGCTTTCCAGTTCAATCAGCTGCATTTCGATGTCGCATTAACTGTCATCAACTCAGCCAGTTAATGCGAGACAAATCCAGCTGCTCATTTAAGCTTTCTGGTTTGAAAAGAAAACATTGGTCCATATGACAAGGCTCAATGGCCCGAGAATAGGGATTGGGCTCAGGCGCAGAACCGAAACCGGAAGCTGAACGACTTTTAACAGAGTTTTATTTTACAGGAGTCTTGAACAGAGAGGACTGAACAAAAGCTAAATGTAACAGTGAGCAATGACAAGGCTTTGTGAGAAGGGCCTGAGCACAAGCTGAATCTGGTCACAGGAATAGCAGGGGCAGGAACAGGGCAGTTAAAGCTATGCAAACAGGAACACTGAAATAAAAGAGATAATAATCAGAGTTGTCCGTGGAGTAGTGAAGGCATCCAAGATTTCAAAGTTGAGAGGTCTTACATGGTTGCAGGTGGAGATTAGCTGGAGGAGGTGAACTGGATTGGGTGAGTACAGAGTGCGATGTGGGTGCCCAGGGAGGCAGGCAGGTATGGATGGTGGTGGCCAATTACAAGTTGAATCTGGTAGTTGGTGTTGTTAGCTGAGATACCGTCATTAAGAAGTGGCACAACTAATGTGTCTATGCAAGCTAATTTACGATGTGCACCGCTGGCCCGGCCATTTATTTTTTAATGCACCTTCTCAGATTTATTTCACTGCGGGTCGTGCACAGGGCTGAACTGGGACAAAAAAATCGGCCCGGGCATTTTGACTAGAGACCGGCCCACCAGGTATTAAAGCCATAAAGCCTTTGAATGAAAACAAACGCTGTTGTGACAGTGATGTACACTGTCTTGTTGGTATATGTATGATTTCTATACATTTTACCTCAGATAAAAACTTTGGTTGTAAGATTCAGATAATTATTTAATAAAAGCCAGACATTTTAAATGAGAATAAGAAAGTATTTCTTTGTGCCCCTCTTTCCCTGTTAATGCTCTACCTGGCCCCCTGGCAAAACATTGCTAGACCCGCCCCTGCACAGTTACCAGCTGTCAGCTGCATAAAAAAAGGATCCTGGTGTTATTCGTCTCTCAGAAACAGTTCATAACTTCCCTTCAACACATTCATGTCACCTAAAAGGTAAACCTGTTTCTCCATCACCTGTTCAGCTCTGATGATTCAGTAAGGACATCTCTTGGTTTCATCTTCATGTTTCCCTCTCACCAGGATATCCAAACCGACATCATGACCAGCAGCTTTTATGGCTGTGGCTCCAACAAACATCAGCTGATACTAGAAAGTAATATCAAATAAATTCTAACAACAGCTGATCAAGCTTAAACGTGCTGCTGTTGTTTAGGGCGGCATCTGCTGGTTTCCTCTTTCTGGCGCCAAGTGGTTGATAAACAAACAAGAGAGAAAAGCCGATCAGCTGATCATTGATCAGTTTCATGATTGAAGTAGCAGCAGGAGAGAGAGGGTGAGAATGAGAGAAGAAGAGGCAGCTGACAGCGTAAAGACACAGAATAGCAGCTTTGTGTCTTTTTCCATTGTAGCTGAAGTACAGAACAAACTGTGTTTCTTTTCAGCTCAATACGAAACGCGTAATATTTTCTCTGAATACGAGACGATTCCGTTTTTTACGGGACGGTTGGCAACTCTACTAACTAACCTTGTAAATAAAATAAAGCTCACTATCAGTAACATCATAGCACCCACCCAGCTGTATAGAAACTCCGTCATGCTAGCTAGTTATTGTAACTGACTGTAAAAGGTCAGCACAACAAAAATAAACTGCACCTAAACTTGGTTTATATCTGACCCAGACAGACTGCAGGTCATAACTTCTTACGTGAAGTTCAATTCACCTGACACTCGGACCGGCAGCCGCCTCGGGTCTCTCCTCCTCCTGCCTCCCCTTTCACTCATCCACCTGCTGGCCTCTGTGGGAGCTCCGCCACAGCAACCACCAAACAACTGAGTTATTTTTACACATCGGCCAGCATCTGGACAATCCACCACCATTCATTGTTTATCCTGTTACAAAAAAAAAAAAATTAAAATCGGCCCATAAAAACGAAAAATCACCATCGACCCACCGAGCAAATGCCCGGTATGCCCGATGGCCAGTCCAGCTATGGCCATCGGGCCGTGCCATCAGTTAAGCCTTCATGTGCCAGCTGTGGCACACATCCATTAACTGGGTTATCCATCAAGGATCCAGTTTAGGTCTTTTTTAAAATTTTTATTGCATATTTTACCCCTCTCTTTGAGAAATACAAAATTTAGTATTACTGTTATGCAGATGATACCAATTTATATATTATTGCTACACTTAAAAGTGAACAGCTTTATATATTGTACTGTTCTATCACATTATAAAGAACCTATGACTGTTTTAATGATCTGAACTCGTGGAAAAATAAAATAACAAAACTGTTTCAGTTGTTTTATGAAGTCTGCCCAAGCCCCACAAACATCCTCACAGAGTTCTTTATCTGGAAATATCCAAACTATTAAAAATCTTGGTGTTTTTATGGATAGTTAATTTACTTTTAACTATCAAATCAGAAATGTTGTCAAGGCTTTTACCAACTGAAAACCATTGTTAAATTAAAAACACCTTTATCGCCTGACTACTGCAGTTCCCTGTATACAGGATTACATTGCATCTTGTTTGTAGATTGTTCAAAATGCACCTCGTTCCTTTCTTAACTGGTACAAAGAAAAGACAGCACATCACTGCTGTTTTACCTCAGCTACACTTGCTGCCTAAAAATGTTTTAAGAAGTTGAGCTATTCAGAGATGGACTTGCTGGTATTCTGGATCATAGGCCTGTTGTATAACCCAAGTGCAACTCCTGGGCACAAGCTAATTGCTGGACATTGTCATTCAGGATTTTCTGGTAGAGGGCAGAATTCATGGCTCCATAAATTACAGCAAGTCATCCTGAACGAGCAAAGCAGCCCCTGACTATCATACTGCCACCACCATGTTTGACTGTTGGGGGGGATCTTGTCAGTTTCCAAAATGTTTTCCCAAAAGTCTTTGATCATCAAGATGATTTTTGGCAACTGTGAGAGGAGCCTTTATGCTCTTTTTGGTCAGCGGTGGTTTTAACCATAGATCACTCCCAATGCCATTTTACCCAGGCTTTTTCTTATTGTTGAATCATGAACTCTGACAGTAATTGAGACATGTGAGGCCTGCGGTTCTTAAATTGTTATTCTGAGCTTTTTGTGACCTCCTAGACAAGTCACCAATGTGGTCTTGTAGTAATTTTGGTAGACCAGTCACTCCTGAGAGGGTTCGCCACTGTTCCAAGTTTTCTCCATTTGTTGATAACAGGTCTCACACCATGATTCACTGCAGTCCAAAAACTTAAATAGCTTTGTGACCCTTTCCAGACAGATAGGTGTCAGGGACTTGTTTCTGAGCTGTTTCTTTATGTTCTTATGTGCATTGCTTTTTGACATCTTTTAACCTACTTCACTTTGTCAAACAGGTTCTGTTTAAGGGATGATTGATTCAGCAGGTCTGGCAGCAATGAGGCTTGCATGAGATCAGTGAAATGGAAGACTGCTTTCCAAAAAAAAGTCATCAATCACACTTAAATCATGTTTTAACAAAGGTTGGGTGAATTGCTTTCTCATATATGCTGGGTAGGTTTGAATAGCTTCTTTCCCTTAATAAATTAAATTATCATTTAAAACTGCTTTTGTATTTATCTTTCTTTGTCTAATATCAAAATTAGTTTGATGATCTGAAACATGTGTGACAAATAACTACGTAAATAACGAATTAACTTTAAAAAAACACACCTAGGAATCAGGAAAGGGGCAAATAGTTTTTCACAGCACTGTGTATAAATAAACGAACTTGACTATTTTTTTTAAATGCTTCAGGGTGATGATGTTCTCCTTCTGCACCAAAGTAGAATTTTAAACACGGAATGGTTGCTTTAAATGTATATTTTATTATAGTTACGTTACCTTAAACCAAGAGCTATCTGTTACACAGATGTGAAAAACATGTATCGACCCTTAAGTTAAGTCTTCTGTTCGAGAAATAAACAGGTTGTGTGGGGCTGCATTAGAAAACACGTGACTTTCTGGGTGTTTCTGAACACTCGTGTCACATGATCGTGCCAGTGTTTTTGTTAAGTGTTGAAGGCGAGTGCAGTTAACCGCAGAGCTAGCAGGTAAAGAAGCAAGTTGGAATTACGTAGCCAGAAGCCGTTGAGGGTTTTGTTTTCAAGAGAAGCGCTTTGTCATTGCTCCAGATAAGCTCGCGAGACTTTCGTCTGTTTTCTTGCCGTTGTTGTGACGCTAACATTAGCCGAGCTAGCCCAGCGACTGCTAACATTAGCTAACTCCCTGCGCCCTGTTTGTTGTTGTGCTTCTGTGATTTCGCGCAGACAAGTGCTGAGCCATCCCGAGGGAAACAACAGAAATATGGTGCAAATCTGTCGTGTCCAGTCATGGTTTGTGGGAGTAACGCCACTCCTCATTTTCGGTGAGTATTTTGTTTCGGTTTAGTTCACATTAGCAACAAGATTACAAAATCCGAAGATCTGAAATTAGCAGGACTCCAACGTTTACACCAACGCTGCTAACGCTACACGCTAATGGTTTAAAACTTATTGGTTTAACTAAATAATTAAAGTGTTGCTGTGGTAAAATCAGCGTTTTAAACACTTAAACGAACTTGAGTGCCGCCTTATGCTGCGAAAATAGATGACAACGAATGTGCTGAAGCGTCGTTTGGGTGTTTTCTTCCTTATTACCTGTTCTTTGTCTAGTACCAAGGAAATCTAGGGCACATACATACAGCATTTGTGCCTAAAAAGAAGCTTACACCAAATTAGGTGTAAAGATGAATGATTATGGTTATGGGTGATCAGTTATTGTATGTAAGGGGGTGTTTAGATTTACTATGAGGCTTCACGTTCTGGTTTTACAATGTTGTCAGTTTTTGAGGTTTTCTTTAGTGGCGATTTTTAAGTTTATATATGTATGTGTGTGTGTGTGTGTGCTAGTAATTACATACACATAAAATTTAAAATGGGTTAGGACACATAAAACGGTCCAGTGCTTAAGTTCTTTTTGAGTTGAATATTTGCTGAATTTGCTGTAGTCCCCCCCTTGAGGGAGCAGATGAAAGTACCTTCGTCAAGTACTCCATGCCGGCCAAACCAGGAGGTTGGAATTTCCAACTTCGTACTTGTATACAGCGCATTTGAACCCAAACCAGTTGTTTAAGGATGTTCTTGATAGTCATGGTTTACAGTAAATGCAAATAACCTTTCCAAGCTTGGCAGATGAATGAGGAAAAAGCACTGAAAAGGCAAATGATGCACACTGAAGTTAAAGCCATACACCATAAACAGAAGACACTCTTAAAGTCTCAAAACTTTAATTTATGATAGTTCTTTTTTAAAATCACACGTACTAGTTTAATATTATACTTTAAAAGCCGAATCAACCACTGCATTCATGTTGTTTCAGAGTTTTGCCTGTTGGTTGGATAGAACAAAAAAATTAATATTCAACATAATCCACACATTAATTTGAGAAGAAAATAACTGAGCTCAAGCCCTTTTTACTTCCCACTCAACTCCTTTTTAATTTTCTGTCTCAGATTTGAAGTTGCTAGAATAATCTTTTGATGTGGGAGGCTACTCTTTTCCTTTTATTATCAGCTCATTGATGGGTCAAATTTCTACCTTTTCATTTGTAAACCATCTGATTCGGTGAGTAATTGGGGAAAACAAAGTAGTCCTAAACATGTAGCCATGTGTTCACACATAGAGGCTTTTTGGAACACTTAGGCTATATGGAACACTTAAAAACAAAAAAGTTGTATTCGATGGCACCAAAATTGATTCAAGTAATGGCACAAGGTGAAAATTGACTGTGGGCCCTTTTTATTTACTGCATACTATTAATATCAATGTTTATCTCATATTTATTTTTATTTTTGGACATTTTGAAGCTTTGTAGTCTTTGACTTGTAAACGATTGTGTTTTGCAGTGACTGTCCTGCACCAGGGCTTTGCTACTGTTGCCCCGCCCACTCCCGCACCACACAAAGAACCCGGAAGACCTGAAAGAGGACACTACAACGTCACGAATAACGGCACCATCTGTTTAATGGCATACATGGGCCTCCAGCTCAACATTTCATACAACTCCACCTCCCAGAAAAAGGTGCCGCAATAAAACCCGCACGTAACTGATAGGCGAATGCCGCAGGTTAAAAGTATTTGGACAAATAACATTTCATGATTTTCTTTACAGGTTGTCCAGGATGTGATGAACTTACAACCCAATTTGACAAAGCACTCTGGATCATGTGATTCTGAGATCGCGTCCCTGCAGCTCACAGTGGATGCTGTTAAAACCAACCTCATTTTTGTCTTCACAATGGTGAGTTTCTGTTTTCATCATGTACTTCCTAAAGAAGCCACTAGATGGCAGCTGGAGCTTGAAGTTAACCTGCTCTAATGCAGTGGCGCTCACTTGGCTGTGCTTTTGTTTTTTCCACTAGAACTCCACATCCAACAAGTACCACTTAAGTGAAGTGAACGTGTCAGCGGCCTGGCCGGACATGAAAGGTGAGGCTCCTCGACTTCTTAGGTTGTATCCAGGTAGTCTGTATCTGATTAATGAACATGTGTGAAACCTATTTTGTGACCTACTCTTCAGTGTAGTTCACACACACACACACACACACACACACACACACACACACACACATGTATATGTATAAACTAGGTGTGAGTGGTCATGTGTTGCTCAGGTCCTTGTCTAATCAGTAATATTGTGATGGGATCTGAAGCCGACTAAAACACATTGAAAATGCATTTGCATTGATGTCAGACCAAGCCGCATCATGGTGTAAAGGTGCTTCCAAAATGGACACAGCGTTCATTGCACTTGCTCATTGGTTCGAGGGAAGTGCAGTGGACATAGCAATATAGGCGGGGTTTAAATGGTTCAAATGTCAGTGTGTATTCTGTACCTCTTTTCATCAATACATCAAGGATTTTCTTAGATCTGAGTTATTTGCAGCAAAGCACAACAAAGCATTGCTGTTTTCTTGTATTGCTCACCTACACCAAGCTGCTCAAGTTTTAAAATACACACTGAGTGTGTGTGCTTGGATGGGAATCCATTTCTATGAAAGAGGTTTCTTTCTGTAGCATCACCTTGGATGCATGTGAACTAATTCAGTGAATTCAGACACAGATAACAACTTTTTCCTTGTCTCCCAGATACCGGCTGGACACCTTGTTTCTTTTGGTGACGTAGGCAGTTGTCACAGCGGTCAGAGTTCACGTTTGTTTGGTGTTTGTTCAGATTAAACAAATTAGCCGGATTTCTTTGCTCCTGAGCTGCACACCGCACATTTCCCAGTGCAACAACGGAGCACAATTGTGTTTCAATAGCCATTTATAAATATTGTTTTTCACAAGCGCACTGCGTGCTGACAGATGTTATGATATTGGTCATGCAGTTGACAGTAGAATTGTTTTTGATCATCAATCGGTACCACTTGAAGTCTGTCACACTTCAAGTGGATTCAATTGGATTCATTTGTAGTTTAGTTCAGTTTTATTGTAATAGCACCAAATTACAACAGTGGTCACCTCAGTCACCTGCACTGTCAAGGTGCTTTATACTGCAAGATGAAGACCCTACAGTATTCAGGAAGAAACCCCAACAATCAGATGAATCCTTATGAGCAAGCACTTGGCGACAGTGGGAATTAAAAAATGCCTTGTTTCAGACAGATGATGAATTGAAGGGAAGCGCCAAGACATAGTATAAAATAACTAAGAATGATTTTGAAATGTGAGTCACAGAAAGCTACTTTAGCAGAGTCCACAAAAAAAAAATGGAGCTGTAAACTGGCTCTCTTCAGTGAATTTAAAGCAGCTTTCATCGCTCAGATTAGCGAGAATGTTGTTCTGCTGTGGTGTCTCTTAATTCATTGTTTACTGAGGTCACATACATTACAACAGACTACAGGTTGTAGTTTTGTAGTAATTATGGTGAAGTTGGAAAAAAGCAGTATGCAAAATTAAGTCCTTATCTTTGTGTTAAAGTCACAGTGAAACTGAAACTGTAGTGTTTCCGTGCACTGACACATTTGCAGGTCATGCAGAAAATGCGGGCAGGTTTAAGCATTGTGGGCTTACCTCAAACTGTAAGACACGCTTTATTGATTTAAATTTCATTTACCAGAAGATAACCGATCAACAAACACACCCCGAATCTGAACTTTATTAACATGTAGTTCATTTAAATTTCTCTCTCATAATCATTTTTTTCCCTTCTTATATGAATCTGTTTTCGCACTTGATACACTTCTCATGTCCATTCTGTTTTCTGCTTTAGAGCATATTTCAGGCCATAACAGCAGTCTGGACTACCTGCGGGGAACCGTGGGGTACTCGTACTACTGCCGTGACGAGCAAACTCTAAACGTGGTCCAGAATTTGTCCATCAACACCTTCCAGTTGCAGGTGCAGCCTTTCGCCGTTAAAGGAGATCAGTTTGGAGCAGGTAAACACTTCCGCCTAGTAGAGTGTGATCAAAACACATCATCTCCTCCTTGTCCTTTCTCACGTGTCCTTTTCTGTCTATCAGCTGAGGAATGCCAGCTGGATGAAGATGACATGTTGATCCCCATTGTAGTCGGAGCAGCTTTAGCGGGGCTCGTTGCCATCGTGCTCTTGGCCTACCTCATTGGGAGGAAGAGGAGCCATGCTGGCTACCAGAGCATCTGAGGTCACTCCTTACTCACATGTTGTCAGAGGCCTGAACGCGGCCCTACCCTACCTGAAAATTAACCACTGTCTTTCGAGACTTGAAGCTCGCCCCTCTTCCCCTCCATGTTTCTCTCCCTGCCTCTGTGTGTCTGTGCTGTTCTTTGCCCTCATAAGTAACACTAATTATTATCACCTTGTTGAGGTTCATATGTGCTTTCTGAACTGACCCGCTCTTTCTTAAAAAAGGGAATTATTTAGAAGATTGTAATGAAATGAGGCCAACTTCTCACTGGTACTATGTAAAGGAGGGAATGCATGTTTGCAGAGGATCAATTATAGTCCTCGAGTTGCTATTTATGATTTCTATGAAAGGAATTTTGAGGGATTTGGGGATTTAGAAACTGGGGTTTGTCTGTTATGGAATGACCATTTTTATTGGTCCAGCATAAAATGAGGTTTGCTGTTACAAAGGGAATATTTCTGCCAGTTATACTTAAACTACGTCCGACAGTTGAGAACTGAACTGATTATTTACCTGCAAGCTGTATGCACGTTTGAAAGAACATATTTAGAAACACAATAACCTAATCCTAAAAAGGATGTGTGAGGAGTCCTCTTGTAGCTCTAAGATGCATTTTAGAATTAACTTTCTTTTTTTAAGCAGGGTTAGTGTTTCAAAGCTTTTCACTCCCTTTTTCGGACACACAGCATGTTTTCTGTTGTGAGTCAGTTTTAGTTTCATTCAGCTTGTGGAAATGGACAGACTGGCCAGACTCGTACTCCCACTGTAAACTACCTGTGTATTATTTTTACATTGGATGAGTTGGTCACTTCATGTGTTGCGGCCGTTAAGGCACAGGTAGCCTTTGCAGTATTTTCCTGAATGGCAACTGTCACCACTCACAATACCGCGACATAAGCGCTGATATTGAAAGAGAAAACGTCAAAACCGAAAGCAAGGATTTTCCTGAAAGTTTTTCGCACGAGGTCACCACTTTTAAATCTCATCGCAATGTGCAACGACAACAAAATGGCGGCAGGGGCCAATGGTTGTGATATCGTTTCCGGCACGCACCGCTGTTCAAAAGGGGGAGCATTAAAACACTGACCTTTGTTACCTTCAGTACCTTCTCCTCTTGCTTCCGTTCTTAATCAACATGCAGTCTTTGGCTATAGCTTTGCACTGACCAGCCACAGCATCAAAACCACTGGCAGCTGAAGTGAACCGTGATGTTTATTTAATTTCAGTGCAGTATTCTGCTGGGAAGGGTTGGGCACTACAAGTCACGTGGAAGTCTCTGTAGCTTGAGTTAAAGGCAACTGGATTTCTTTTGCAGTGACTTTGAAGCTTCTTCATTTCTAAAAGCTGGTGGAGAGTCATAGTTGACTTCTGATCAAGTACTAAAAAAGGAACCCTTAGAGCTAAAAAAGAAAATCCAGCTGCCTTCAACTGAAGTCAAGACAGTTTGTGTCGATGTTACTTTAATCTGCAGCATAAACCTTACTGGAAATTCAGCACAAACCAGGATAGCATCTGCATCTCCCTGCAGAACAATTCACCAGACTACACTCTAGAAACATTTCACGAATGGCTTGAGGAACATGACAAAGTGCCAAAGGTGTTGACCTGGCCCTCAAGCTCCCCAAAGCCCAAACAGATGTGCCAGAAATGCACATCTGTTACCATGTCAGTGTCCCAGCAGTCAATAGTAAATGATCTGATACTTATATAGTTCTTTGCTACTGAATTTGAGCTCTCAAAGTGCTTCCTACTACAAACCTCATTCAGCCATTCACACACATTCATAGGAGTGCTTTTTTTTTCTATGACAAAGCACTTTTTAATCTAACCTAACACACACTCCCAGTCTGAGAAACTCAGGGTTCAGCATCTGGCCTGAGGATTGCCCAGAGATTGAATCAGCGATCTCCCGCTTAACAGATGACCTACTCAGCGTCAGTGCCACTGACTCTATTTTGGTGGCGCAAGGGGGACGTGCCATGTTAGATATCTGGTTTTAAAGTTGTGGCTGACTAGTGTATATTTACTGTGTAGATAAAGAAACAGTTGACACAAAAGCAACAAAAAAAGTTTATTTCCCACAAGGCTGATAGTCACTCCTATGAATTCTGTCGTTACAACACAACCAAAACAGGATCTAACAGCATTGTTGGTTTAAATGAAGCCCAAAGCCTAAACATCTCTGTAGGAACTTAACAAAATTCCTACAGAGATGGTTTTGTTTTGCTTGGGATGTTGGTTCCTGAAAGAAAAGCAGTTTAACTGCAGTCCTGAGAAACAGCCCCGTGTCATTATTAAAAAGGCCAAAGTGCTCTGGTCAGTGTTCATCAGTGCCTTCCCAGCTGTAACATGGATGGGATTCAAGTAATGCTAATATCACACAGGAACTCGCTCACTCACCCACACTGTGCTGCCATAACTGAGACATGTTTGTGTCTCCTGTAGCCTTCGTGTACTGTTACTACCATAAATATGCATTGTTCGATATAGTAGGAAAAAGCACAGATAATTTGTGTTTTTGTGTTTGTTTTTTTTCTCCCTCCCTCATGTTAATACTCATGTAGTTATTTAATATTTAAGTTTTATTAGATTCGTCTGAACATTTTTTTTTTAAGGAGAGGTCAATAAAAGTGATGAATGAGGCCATCTGACTCTTTGTTTTGCCTTCATGCTGTTTGTTAGCAGACAAACCTGTTCCCTGTTGGGTTTTTATTTGTTTGGGCTCCTTAGAAGCGGATGTTCATTATTTGACAAGGAAGGTATTGAATACCATCAAAGACTAAATTCCAATATCATTTTTTTAGAGAATACAAACATATTCACTGTGTTTTAACCACAGTTTTGACATTTGAATAAAGTTAAAAGAACAAAGCAAATAGCCAAGTTCATACCTGCGAGTAAAGAGTGGGAGGTTAAGGGAAGTTAAATGAACATGGTGTTTGACTGTCAAAGCAGTCCCCGAGCAACAGGGAGCCTGTTACAACGCACGTGTTGACTAAATAATGTAAATGTCACTTGGAAACAGCAAATTTGCATCAGTCCATGCAGAGACTGGATCTGCAGGGTGTGGTCATGGAGGATACAACACATCCTATAAGGCACAAAATGACTGAAAAAGGGATACAAAACCAGGTTATGTGATGCAATGGGAACATGAGGAAATGTAAAACAGTTACAAAGAGGTACTTTTACAACCCTGTGTCCAGTAAAGGTGGGTGTGCCATAATGGTGTAAAATCCACCAGTGTCACGTTTGATGTCTTTCTAATATTTTTGATAAATTATGGTGTTCAGATCATTTGCACATCATTTGCGTTTGGTTTTTATTTACATATCGCCCCAACTTGTTTGGAAACTTTTTTTTTTTTATAGCAGAGCCGCCACCTCACAGTCTTATCCATAGCTGTTGGGGATTTGGGTTTACTAACATCAGCTATTCTATAGTTTGCATTTTAATTTCAAAAGTTGTTTATCTGTATTATCTACATTCATTTTGCATTTGAATATTTACTTATTGTACTTTATGATAGTTTACAGACTATTATGGCTAGGGCTGTTCATATAATGATATATATCGGATGACGATATAAAAACGTCTATCATTTCATTTTACGTTATCGTTTGTTTCGTGGTGTCGCAAAATAAACTGTTTACGGCAATATTTTTTCATCGTTTTGATGGTCACTGTAGTGTCTATATTAATTTCTTAAAGTTCTCTCTTTCCCTTATATTTAATAGAACCACACTACAGATGGACAAGCGCCTGTTTGTTTGCGTTGTGGTTAGCAACAACGACGGTAACAGTATCGCGTGTCCGCTTGTTTATGTTCCACATAAACCTTTCACAATAAAGCTCAAGATCCTGTTGAGACCTTTCAAAATAAACTGAATCACGTGAAAGAGCAGATTATTTACGGATGAGAATTTAAAAAAGAGCCGCCAGGTGCTAAAAAATAAACCTTAGACTCAAACGTTAGAACAGGCTTTTCCCCGCAGCACGCCGTGTAATAAATACTCACAAAGAAAACGGCGGCCTTTACAACTTATGTCTAAAAATGTATAGTTTCATGCATCGGTTAAAACACTGGACTCCAGCTACATGACGCGCAGCTGGAAACACTTCCCGAAAGACGAGCTGTCCGACATTCACAGAATTTACAGAAAATGTTACATTTCTGTGATTTATATCGTTAGTGACGATAGAATTCTTATATAGGGATATGAGATTTTGGTCATATCGCACAGCCCTAATTATGGCCTAGAAAAAGGGTCAGTGTATGCCTCTGCAGATTTCAGATCTTCTATCGCATTTAGTAAAAGATTGCAGATCACAGTTTCCAGTTATAGTAACTGATTATCTATTTATAACAGAAACAAAGCACTGTGAGCTAAAATGAACAACATTATCTGTATCACTGAGGTAATTTGTCCAACACAGCATTTGTAGACTTGCACTCACTGACCACTTAATTAGATAAACTCATTCAACTGCTCGTTAATGGAAATATCTAATCAGCGAATTGTGTGGCAGCAACTGTCATTCAGGCATGCAGACATGGTCGAGATGACCTGCCAAAGTTCAAACTGAGCATCAGAATGGGGAAGGATGGTGATAAGAACAACTCTGAATGTGTTATAGTGCCTTGGTAGAATGCCCAGGCTGCTTCAAGCTGGCAGGAAGGCAGCAGTAATGCAAATAACAGAAGAGAAGTATCCCTTAACACGCACCAAGATCACACCAAGTGCCACTCCTGCCAGCTAAAAAAAAGGCAACAGGTTATAATTACATGTGGTCACTGGAGCTGAACATTAGAAGACTGGAAAAATGTTTCCTGTTTCTGCTGTGACATTCAGATGGTAGGATCAGAGTTCACACTAAACAACAAGAAAACATTTATCCATCCTTACTTCTCTCAGTGGTTCAATGGCTGTGGTGGAACACGAGATTCACAAATCCGACAGTCGCTGCTGAAAAATCTGCAGCAACTGTTTTGTGCTATCATTCAATATGGACCAAAATCTTTCCATGACTTTTATGAATCTGTACCATGAAATCCCACTCATTGCAACGTGTACTTACTAAAGTGGCTGGTGAGCATATAACTTTAATAGCTTTGTAGACTATGCCTGAATTCATGACTGACACACACAAATAATACTGATGCTACCATTTAGCAGAAGCATTCAGCAAAGTGAGGAAGCAGATGGGGTAAGTTAATGGGTTTTATTTTACAACAAAAAGTGAAAAATGAGACTGAGCTCCATAAATTTAAACAGAAACCACCACATTAAAAGCGTGACCCTTCAGCTTTACGTTCTCTTGTAAACAGTCCTAAAGGCAAGAGACAGAACAAAGTATTCACAGTAAAAATAAGTGATCCGTCCATAATCACCAAAGCAAAAGTGTTTTTAGAAAATACACATGTAAATGCTGTTTGGTGCGGTGTTATGATCTTAATGTACTTCTGTATATATAGCAGCAAATATAGTAGGTGAAAGATTGGAGTCAAAATCAAAAGAAAAGCCTCAGAAGCATAAGCCTTCATATTTAGATACCCAGTCTGCCAGATTAGAGTGTAACAAAGTATAAATCACAGAAGTAACCAGAAGAGTCACCAACATGTATGTTTCATACAGTTCCTGACTGTACAGTGTTACTTACGCTGCCTGAGCTTTTGTTTTATTAAATCCAGTATAAGGGGAAAGTGTCCTGAACCTCATGGCTGTCCTGATTCCTCCTTGAGAATTTGTTGTCTGCGTTTCTCTCTCAGTTTATCAACAGTCGACATCGACAGACTCTTAGGTTCCGTAAAGATCTTCTGCAAAGGAACATTTAAGGAGTGCTTAGGCTTTTTTCTACTCAAAATAAAAATAAAAACTACAATTAAAACTGTGTAAATACTTTTAACAGATTATCTTCTGCACAGTCTCATGGACTGGTGAAGTTAGAATAGCTGAAATGTAGCACTTCCCCATGAATTGTTTTTCTTTTTTGGGAAGTATTCTTTAAAAAAAAGATGTTTTATGACCATAAGTAGTGTCATTTTTCTCTGGCCCCTTCCTAACCGTCATTGTATTTGGCAATCTCACCTGCATAAAGGTGTGGCAGTCTAGAGTGAAAGCCCCAGAAGTGATCTGTTTGAAGCATTCGCACACGTCAGGCAAAGAGCGCGCTCTCAGGATCTCTGCCTGGTGGTGAAGTATGAGAGTAAGAGCCACGCGGAAAAGTACTTTGGATCCCTCGTAGAAAAGACAATCCCAGACCCGCAGAACAGTCTGCAAGAATAAGACAGAAGGTGGATGTCAGTTAAATGATCGCCACATGCTTCTAGTTTGACCCCTCCACTAAAGCGCAGCTTTTGCCTCACCTCGATAGGGAGTACATCGATGTAGAGGCAGATAAACCAGCGAGACACCACCAGCGTCCATATGCCAGGGTACTGGGCCATGAGCTGTCCTACTGCAGGAGCTTTGACCTTAACCAGCTCACCAAGGACCTCCTGGTCAGTCTTCAGACCCAACATGGCCGGGGTGTAGTAGTCTGCAACACATTCAGATGAATTCCTCCTTTTCTTTTGCACAATTGAAAGCCATTGTAGTGCATTTATTTATTATAGATAATATTTATTATTATGTAAACTTTGAATTACATTTATTTATTTAACAGCCCTCCTTAAGGAAAAGATCAGGCTAACTGATTATTATTGTATCCCCAGTACCTCAGAAAAACAGACTCACATGCTCACAGTTAATTTGCTGCTTAATAAACTGAACAGAAATAAATAATGATGGTCTGGAGCATTGTTTTATAAAAGATCTCAAATTTTTATAGACTGAGTGTCAGTTTAGGAAGGCGCTATGAGAACTTAAAAAAAAAAGAAAAAGAAGTAAAACGGAAGAGAAGCGCATCTTTGGTCTCGTTCTCTGCCGCCTTGACATTTTGCTGTACGTTTCCTTTGTTGTGGTTGCAAAATGTTAGCTGAGGCTGCCGCTGGCCCTCGACACAAACACTGAAAACCCTGCATCTCTAAAGTGGAACTGGTTTAACCTATGGAGCAACAGTGCAGGGTAGGGGATGTTTGCTGTGGGGTAAACAAAAACAAAAAAAAGAGCTCTGAAAGGAAGCCGACGTTAACTGTCACCTTACCTGGGAGTATCCTGCCCACCAGTGCATCCATAAGCCAGAAGGATTTCTCTTCGTCTTTCGTGATGATCATGAGGTAGCCTGCAATGAAGTTCATGCCCTAAAAACGAAAGAGCATGCTGTGGATCGCTTAGAATAAGAACTCCTGCTGTGTGTGCATACAGTATGCCAGGTTTTACATTGAATAAGTGCACTGACCGATATAAGAGCTAACAGATGAAGGTTAAGACGGAAAATCCTACACATGTATTGGTTAAATAAGGAAGTAGCCAGCCCTGATCTTTAGGTAAACAGACATGGTCTTAGATAGAGGGAGAGTCAGAGCTTGTCGCTGACTGCATTTTCTTCACCTGACAGTAGCCCACTGTAGGATTATGGTGTCCGTAGGCCAGCAGCACATTGAACAGAGCCTTCTGCATGCCTGGCTCTGCTTTGCTCTTGAACAGGATGTTGTCAGGAAAGGTCCTGTGCATATCTTTTAAAAAGCAGAAAGAGTGAGTGAATTATTGGGACATAATTTAAGCATTGAAAGAGCATGCTGTATGCTGCGACAGTTTTGGTGCACCTGTGTGAATGGTTTCTTTCAGCTTGGTGTCATGCTCCATGTCCAGCAGAGACTGGTAATAACCCGGCTTACTCTCCAGCTGTTCCTGGGCACCACTAGCCGCCATCCAGATCCTGGCACGGTGCTCATTAGGCACACCTTTACGAACAAACCTCTTCACTGCCAAAACATGTTTTATTATTACCCATCACACGACCAGAGAGCTGGAACGAACAAGCAAACAAAACCCATGGAGGTGTCTTTTGTTTTTGTACCTGTGAAGTTCTTCTCCACATGAGGCTTCTCCTGAAGGAGCTTTGACCATCTCATGGACCTCCTGTTGAGGACATCTACATACTGATTCATCATCTCCTTGTAGGAGTCGAAATCGCCACGTCTCTCAAAACCGTAGGCGTCAATCCTGCTGGGACAAATTCACACAGTTCTCCACCAGTGAAGGTCTACACATAACACTCATAGACGCTGTGAAATCAGGATTGCCGGTGGACCTGCTTGCTCCCCTCCTTTCTTTCATTCTCCTATTCAGTGATGGCAGACTCTAAAACTGCCTCCACTGGGTAGGGTTTCTGTAGCTGAGTGATCAAATGCTCCAGCTGGATGAATAGTTAAGGGTTAAATTACTTCTTAGGGGAGCAAGGAGAAAAATGTAAAAACTCTGACAAGCTCCTGTCCCTTAAAAGCCAACAGGTGACAAACTTTAATGGTAGATTTACACGTTATAAGATGAAATGTGAAGTGGAAATACAAAAAGCTGAAGAGGAAGAAAGATGTTGTAAAAACAAGAAAAGGTTGCCAGTGAGGAAGCTGCAGGCAGATATGCTGACTAAATAACACAGGCCGACAACAAAACAAATAAAAAAAGAAACAAGAAAAGAGAAAATGAACTTTTTAAAACGCAATGAAACAAACAAAGCTTACCTGTCACTGTCATCATAATCGGCCAGAGCCTGCATAGCATTTCCTTTCATTTCCCCATCCATTGTGTCTCATGTGCTAAAGGTAAAGTAGTCCAAGAAAGCAGAAAAAAAGAAAAGAAAAAGAAAAAAACAACTGGGAGCAGGAAGCTTATTCCATTTTTATTCCCTGGAAAAGAACCAGCTGCTGTCAAGGTAAATAACAAAGCGGTCTGAGTTTCCTATGGCTCACCTTACAGCAGCCACTGCTGAGAGGAGGAGCTAGTATGAAGAAACCCACAGGTAACAGCCACAGGCGTGTACTTCTGTTCGCACACAAAACAGTTGGAGGAAGAGACACTGTGGTGTTTGCTCTTATGTCCTCTGCTGGCTGTAATTCCAACATTTTATTAATTTCCTGCAGCAGGTAAATTTGTTATTTCTTTAAAGTGATTTGGAACCAGACCCAAATTTCCAGTGTTTCAAAGCTGATCTGTTTGGCAGACATATTATTAACACAGAGATGATAGGTGGACTTAGCCAATATTTTATATTTGGAATACATCGTGTTCTGAAACGTGTAGCCCGAAGTAATGAATTATTAGACAGCATTACTGTGGATCAGTCTCACCTTACTTCAACATTATTTTTGACAAACACACAGACAGCTGGCATCTAAAAAGCCTGATATAAAAGACTGTATATATAAGATGGACACATGCCTTTCCATTCTGTTAATTTTAACTTGGCATATTTTTCGTGTTGTATGGCCATGTCCTGTGTTATAAAGTTTAATAAAGTTTAAACAAAAGACTAAAAAAGATGGGGATGGATGTAGCCTCCAGGTCTGAAAAATGACCTGAAATGCTGAAGTGCCTTATACCTGCATTCTTCTTTTATGACCTCAGTAAGCCCACTGGTAGGTTCATGTTCTCATATGACACTTTTAAGTCTCAGTTTTAACACAAACTGACTCGTTTGTACACTCTAGTCCCAAATAGACTCAAAACTGGTAAATAAAACAGTGAACACTTTAGCGCGTGGCTGCATTAGTTACTACAGTATGAGCGTGCAGTGTCACTCACCGCCTGTGATTTTAAAACACCAAGAATGCTCATCCTCAAGGCCCCAAAACAGGACTTTATAAACCAGTGGGTGATTTTATGGGGGGTTACAGCCATCTTTTATACACAGTTTTGGTCTACACTCCACACTCTGTTTTTAGCTTAATTGTCTCACCCTTTGGTGGGTAGTACAGTGCATAGAGTGACGGAGAAAGGCTCAAAGTGGACTCAAACCCAGGTCACTAGCCCTCAGCGCAACCAGTTGAGCTATAGTGGCACTCCACACGGAGTACTCTTAACAATATATGCGCCATACAATTAGTTTAACTGCAAACAGATTAAAAAAAAAAATAACAGTCATGTGTCCTGTTTTGTGGAATCATATTATGAAAGTAATCTGGATTTATCTCCTCTGAAACAACATTGTTGTACCTTCCTATTTCACTTATTTTTAGTCAGAAACTTATAGGAGTACTGCAGTTATTAACAAAGCTTTTACTTTCTAATTATTTACAAAGATGATCCCTGGAAATAAATAGATGAACCCTTAAGCCATATTAGCCCTAAAAGAAACTTTGCTGGAGTTGAATTACTTCTGGTGAAAAAGTATTTTAATGATACTTGAATACATTTGATTGACCTATGAGGGTAGCTTAAATAATTCAACCTACAAACATAAATGTGACTTGCCTCTAGAAGTCAGCGTTGTGCATGAGTTGCATATGATCCCAAAGCAGATGATGCCACACAAGAGAACGCCACTTCAACTGCTTGTTAACAGAAATATCTAATCAGCCAATCACGTGGCAGGAACTCGTGCATTTAGTTATGTAGATAAGGTCAAGGTGACCTGATAAAGCTTAATCAAAGCATCAGAATGGGGATGAACGGTGATTTAAGTGACTTTGAATGTGGCAGACAGGCTAGTCTGAAAAACTGCTGACCTACACAATCATGTCTTGAGTTTATAGAGAATTACCAGAAAAACAGAAAATATTAAATGAGAAGCAGTTTTCTGGTATTTCCAAACATTTCCCCCCCCCTCAGTGTCGACTTGCCTTCGCTGTAACTGTGCTTTTTTGTACTCTTTAGCAGTTGTTTTTTGTATCTGTGATATTAAGCGTCATATTTCTCATCAGCAGCAAAAGAGCTAAATACACACATCATTATGGAAAAACTCATGCTTTATTCATCTTTCGTAAATGAACAATATTAGGCTACTTACACGATGTATCAACAATATTTTCTATTTTTCACTACCTTCAGGAACACTGAACAGATGGGGTTAAACAGAAATACAAATATCAAACAGACAGATTTTTAATCTTAAGGCTTACTTTGTCGTCCTGTTGTCGCCCTCTTTAGTGTCCTGATTTCTGTATTAAGGGCTTTGCACTGCCTAAACACACAGATATGTGCCATGCAATCCTAAAGGTCAGTCGTTTCCTAATTTCAGAATTTCTCTCAAGTGCTGCTAAACAGTTGTTTAAGCATAAAAAACGCATCAAAGTGATGAATTGATAAAAAACAAAATTGCTTCTGAAAGAAAGTCGACTATGTGACATTTAGGATTCAAGACCCACTCCCCACTGAGATTATTCAGACAACACAACCCAATATCCATGATCTAAATTAAAGTACTGCCTTTACTTTAGTGAAAATGTATTGGTGTAACCAGCCAGGGGTGACGTAAAATGTGTTTCAACATGCTTTTGATGAGAAGCTCACAATTCCATGACTTAACAGAGCCACCTAACAATTTAACCAACAGCATATCATCCACAATATTGAGGCATCCCGTTAGAGAACTTAGCATTTACTGTACATAAAACAATCATCTTTTGTATTTATAAATTGAACATATTTATATTATTCTTCATATAGCTCTCTTTGTAAACTGTCCCAATAGATACAGTATGTACAGTAAAAACTGCAACAGTTCTGTTGGTGCTGGTGTAGTGAGCACTCTGTCCCAAGGTTAGAATAAGACAATAAGACATGGGAACTTTGCACAGTCACTCAGAGCTTTGAGACACGGTTGACTAGGAAGAATCTTAAAACACACAGCTTCTCCAGTCCATTCAGAGTACACGCAGCCAGTGAACCTCCTCTCAGTGCTGTGTCTATGCCCACCTATGGGGGCTGTAGTGCTCCTCCTGGAGCAGAGCACAGGGGCATCCAGGATACTGAGAATCTGGCAATGTCCATATGACGCCTCAGACTCAAGAGGGCAGAAAACGTGGCCAGTTGTTCTCGTAGTTTATACTCAGCTCCCTGAAAGGTGGTTTCCTGACAGTTTCAAGTGCTTCGGTTTTCACTCTGAAGTCTACAATTTTCTTTTTTTTTTTTCTCTTTTGTACAAGTCTTAAAAAAAACTATCAAGTCACTGTAAAAGAAACAATGTTCTGGTTTTCCAGAGTCGGGATTAGATTTAGAGAGTTTTGCGTTTTGATCCTGTTACAATTGGTCGAGCGAATTCCACAAAATCATCTATAAGGACTGGCCAAGCTCCTGGGTGAGAAACACCGAAATATCGTTAGTGTCACAGTGATGGACGAGAGCTAAATATGAAGCATGTATTATCGATTGTGCCGGCTCACCTTCCTCATCATAGTTTGACATGTCGTCTGCTATCATGTTGCCAAAGTCCAACAACAAGTTCCATGTGTCCTTTGGGATAGATCGTTTATGGTGTTCCTGAAACGAACGAGTCCTGGTAAATTCACAGGTACAGAAACAGCTTCACATGTTTTCATTTCCTTCCATCTTTAATAATAGATTTTTTTGTCACTGTAAATAACTGATGGACTGAATTCTAGAGTTCTGTTTCAACCAAAACACCAGGGACAGGTTGCACCAACTGTACTTTGCTAAGCCTGGTCCAAACACCTAAGTCAGTATTTCTGAAAAGCAGTCTTGAGACTGGACTTTACGCTCAATAAAAGAAAAAAATCTGTAACATTCTCCTGATGTCCGCCTAATTTGTCAGTTCTGCTTTGGAGTAGATTTGGAGGATCAAAGTAAACAAAATTGCCATTACTGACACAGAAATAAGAAAATTAAGAGCTGTGCAGGCAGCGCAAGAACACACAGACGGCCAAGTCCAACTTTATAACAAGCAATAAGAGAGCTTGGAAAGAAATAACGAGCACAATAAATCATACACTAACTCAGACAGCCTCTGTTAATGAAACGATGCAAAGAAAAGTGGAAAAACCAAACAAAGATGTTTCTTTGAAAAGAAATCCCTTCAAACCAGCACAGCTAGGCAGATTTTTATTAGCAGTATATAACTGTTTAAGTTGCCAGAGTGGGTGTAGTTTTGTCGGACAGCTGCAGGCTTGTGGTCCAAAAAACCAAACAAAAAACTGCAAGTCATGGTACAGCTCTTCAGTATGTTCAAAAAGATAACTCCTACAAGTTGAAACCACTCAATCACCCCCCTGGCAGCAGCCTGCTTATGTTATCTGAATAACTCTGACATCTAAATGTCTGTTTGCCTCAAACATTACGCCACTGGTACTTTAATGTAATGTGCTGTGTTGACTAAGCTGTCGGCAGAAATGGTCTGAATTTGGACTTTTACACCTGCTTCGGACTAAGATTCTTGAAAAGTGCAGGGTTGGTGGAAACATCATGGTGGAAACAATCTGGTTTTGCCCACTAGTTTTTGTGATCACGTAGGTATCTAACGGAATAATGGCCCAGGCCTCTAGAATGGATTCCTCCTTAATTAGAGGATTAAAATGGCTTAAAGTTTGGCTAACTGATTTAAAAAAAAAACAAAAAAAACACACACACATTTTATTCTGGAGCAAATAAAATGCCACTTAAAAAGGTTTAAAAAGAATTACAATCTTGGTGACTTTTTGGGGAAAAGTGAACACCTTTTTAGGTGTAATGAGGACATCACCTGACCTTTTTCTCTTAAAAATACCAGTAGTAGTATCTCAGCTCTTAGAACACAGCTCCTTCCTCACATTTAAAATCTGTATACATACATCAGTGTAAAAACAAACAAAAATAAAAAATAATTTGCACTTTTTTTTTTTAAAATAATGCCCCAAATATCCAAACACTGCGCCTGCCAATAAAAATCAACATTACGGATTTCTTAATAAGCAAAAATTCAGGGTCCATCGTGCCCAGTTTTACTCCTTTGACTCACCAAAAGGAATCTATTCCAAAGATCGAGGAATTTAAATCGTCCCGAAAGGACCAGGTTCCAGTAGGCTACGGCCATCTCCAAATCTACACAAATGAGACAACTTTGTTCAGATGTTTGTGAATCTATAATATTAGTCAAAAATCTATTGTTAGGTCACAATCCGTGAACTTACCGAGACCCTTCTGGCCAGGATTTTTGGCAAAGTTAAAGGTGAATTGATAGAAGTCCTTGAACTTTCCACTATCTTTTAGCTCTTGTTCTAATCTTGGCAAAAGTGCCTTCAGTTTTTCTGGACTGTCACACCTAGAAAAAAAAGAAAAGAAAAGAAAATATAAGCAGCACATACACAAATCACAACACATGGACAAACAAAACTGTTCTAACATTCAGTGCCCTGAAAGCCTACTCGGACACCTGAGCCTCAAAAGTCAAAACACTGCAACTGTTTCATTGAGTCGTTCCACGAAGACACAGTATACCCAGGCTGTGGGCGGATGTATAAATAGACAGCCTTCCCTCCCTGGAGCAACACTAAGAGAACCGCCATGCGTAGATACTTCAGTAAGAGTGTTTTTGTCCCACTTTAAAGCGTGTCACGTGCCGTTCATGTCAACACTCACCCCAGCTCGGTCATTCCATCCATAAACTCCTTCTTGGTGAACTCACACTGAGTGGCGGCACGAAACTTCCACGCAATAACCAGCACAGAGATGCTGGCTGGATCCAGTGAGAGGTCGTCACAAAACTGCTGGATCCCATCAATACCAATCTTATTCTCATCCTGGGGATCTATCAAGACAAAAACACAGTTTCACTCGAAATACTCAAGCAAGCAGTGTCTGTAACTCTTCTGGAATAAGGATCTTTACACTGTTCTTGTAAACAAAATTACAGCCTTAAACACTGTATTTTAAGATCCTACTTGCCTTTGTAGCGATTGTAGAGCTGTTCCAGCTTCTTACGGTCTACTGAGGTTTTCATGGATTCCTTACAGTAAAGCTCTGGATTCTGAAAATAGTTGTCTGTAGCAACTTCTAGTTTCCAGTCATTCTGTGTGAGACAGTACACGGCCGTTTTCTCCCCAGCCTGTGTGAAGGACATGAACTGCCGTACCTTGTCCCTCTGCGAAGACTTCAGCTTATGCTGTACAAGTACAGGACAGGGGCTGTCAGGCACCGGTGCAATCAAACCAGTCAGTACAGACAGAACCACACAAATGCAGAGCGACACACAGACAAAAACACACAGCGAAACATAAAACTCCACAGGCATTCAGGCAACAGGAAGAAAGACTGGGACACGCTCAGGAATACTCCGGCACATATTTCAAAAGGTTAGTCAGTCACGCCGACAAACGCGCTACAAATTTTGAGCCAAGACGCGCTGGTAGTAATGACGTCCTTTCCAAAAACAAGGTGGGTTTTTCTGAAAGGGGTTGTTATGGATTCTCAAAGCACATGCTGTACCTTGGAGGGCCCCTCAGATAACTACATTCATACTTGTAACATGAGTAGGGACATAGGATGCCATCACAAGGACCCAGAGGTGCAACAAGTCTGGAGTGAAACACAAGCCGCCCCCCACCAGAAATACTCAACAAATACCCCTTACATAAAAATATAGAGTGCACTTTCATTACATAAATACTTATAAGGTGATTTTAATTCATTATGGACAGAGGAACAAAAGAAATTACTCAGTGTGCACTTCTCTTGGCTAAAATCAGTAATGTTCATTTAGAATAATACACCACTGAATTATAGACAGCCATATAACAAGTTTTTATCATATCTTAGACCAAACCTTTCCAGAGATACTTGTGCTAGTGTGCAACTACCATCTCCTCTCCAGCAGAAATTAACCAGCAATCAATCATTAAAGCCATAAATCTAAAAGAAAAAATTGCCAAAAGTTATTTTAGCAGCTCCAAAGTCTAATTTCTACTATGAAAATAAAACGAATAAGTTTGGGATTGTGGACCGTTTGAGGACAAGTCTACCTAATATTTGTGATGCTGTATTCTGATCCAAAAGGTTAGAAAAGCTTTTAAACAGTTCTGTCTATTTTTGCAAAAAATAAATAAATAAAAAAATCACCATCCTATGCCATGTCCTCCAACTAGCTGCAGCGTCTGAACACCTCACTGAAGATCAGCATGTCCTCAACCTGAGTTCACCGAGCTGCTAATAACTCCATTACTGATGTAGTCAATAACGATGTATGAAGTCATGTGTCTGTCCCGGTTTGCTGCTCTGGCAGCACGGATTATTGTTCTGTTACAGGAGGGTAACGTTGGGTTAGCATTGTCTTCACAAACACCAGCTAGTAACTTGCACTGGCTAACGTTAGCTGAGTTAGCCTCTCTCTCTGACATTAACGATGGGGTTAATATCACGGGAACAGACTGTCATTGTGGTTACGCGTTAGCCGGGACTTAACTCAAACGGCCCTGTGTGTGTGTGTGTCTTTGAGGTCCAGCGGCTGACCTGCTCACAGCCGAAGTTACCAGACTGCCAAAAAGGGACGTGTAGCTAATGCTAGCTGCTCTTAAAATATCCAACTGACCTTCCCTGTAATAGCAACGAACACGAGTAAATGGCCACTGTACGCTTGCCAAAACGCGACACATCATGTACTTTAATACCACGACAATAGTCTTGTAAGCAAACCTTACTGGCATTAAATCCAATGCCTGGGTTTGTGTTTATTTTGGTTACCTACCATTTTTACACCCGCTGTTTGACCAGTTTGGTAGTCCGACTGTCGTTCATTATACGCATGCGCGGAAGTCGCCGGATTGCATAAAAAAGATGAGGTCTGCGGTAAAGGCTCCGTTTGATATTTGCATTATTTGCGCTTATTTGATTAGAAAATATGGGCTTGTGCAAGTATTTGTCGCGCAAAGAGAGTTAAAACGACACTTTCAAATACGATGTTATACCAAGTGTAATACACAAACAGGAAAACTCCCTCAAAACTGCATTCAGCACTGTTAAAAATAAAACTCAACCCCACCCTTCACCCGCTACACACACAGACACACACTTGTTGACTGCCAACATCCTCACACACCATCCGCAACACAATACACACTGTAAAACACAGCATCAGTAATCCTCCTTCACGGCACATCACACCTGCCTTGCTCTGTTAGTGGCAGACATATGAACAGCTGACCGAAGAAATTTATTTAAACTGCATTAAAACAACGACTGTTGTAGACATCCAAGATTGTTAGGTGACCCAAAGCCTCAAAAAAAAAAAAAAAAAAAAAAAGTCAGAGCAGCCTTTCTGAAATGCCATTGCAGGGTAAGCACAGGTGTAATAACATTCATCATGGCACTGCTCCATTTAGAAGGGTCAGGGTTTATTGTGCTTGCCAGCTCACTAGAACGACTGATGGACTGAATATAACAGGGTTATAATTGAGTTTAACACTTACATGCTTATTGTGGTATGAGATGTCAAAGTGGTTATTGTGAAAAAGACCTATTTTGATAGCAACCATTAATGAATATGGCTATATTAGCAAGAAAAAAATCTAAAGTATTGTTTGTAGTGCTTTGGAAATGTATTGGGTTATGCTTACAGTGTTTACTGAATAAGATAACTAGCTTTGGAATAGTAAAGTTTAAATATTTTTAATACAAGTCGCATCCCAGACCTATTGAATCAAGAAATCACGTAAATAAAACCTGTGTGACAAAGTAAAGTAGGGTAAAAGACCTCAAACATCAAAACATCATGCAACCATTTAAAGAAACTCCAGAACAGATAAGAAACAAATTCAGTGACATCCATCAGTCTGGAAGGGGTTACAAGGTAATTTCTAGAGCTTTAGGACTCCAATGAACCATGGTGAAAGCCATTATGCATAAAAGAAGAAAACCTGGAACAGTGGCAAGCCTTCCCAGAAGTAGCCGGCCTACCAAATTTACTCCAAGACTGCATTAACGACTCATCTAGGAGGTTACAAAATAACCCAGGACAACCTCTAAAGAACTGCTGGCCTCACTTGTCTCAGTTAAGGTTTATGATTCAACAGTAAGATTTGCATAACTTCAACATTCAACATCAATCACCTCAAGGTGCTTTACATTGTAAAGACCCTACAATAATAAAGAGAAACCTCAAAAATCAAAGCAAGTGCACACTTTGAGCAAGTGCTTGGTGAGAGTGGGAAGGAAAAACACACAGTCTTGTAGGAATGAAGCCTCAAGAAGAACTAATTACTAAAGTTAATTCAGAAAAATACCAAGGAGAAAAAAACTGCTGACCTAAAAGATCACAAAGGCTAGTCTCACATTTGCCAAAAAAACCCCCATCTTGATGATCCCTAAGACTTTTTGGAAAATATTCTGTGGACTGACAAGACAAAAGTTCCACTTATTGGAATGTTTGAGTCCCATTACATCTGACATAAAACTAATACAGGATTTCAAAAAAAAAAAATGATATCAGAGGATTGGTTTATGCATCAGGACAACGATCCACCCCCCAAACAAACAAAAAAGACAACATCCAAAAACGTTTTTGGAGTGACCTAGTCAAAGTCCGGGCTTAAAGCCGATTGAGATTCTTTGTGATGACCTTAAACATGCCATTAATGCTCTGAAACCCTCCAACGTCGCTGAATTAAAACAATTCTGCAAAGAACACCAAGGCCTTGGTGTTCCCCCGGAAAAGGTGGAAAAGGTAACTAGGGAAAGGGAGTTTTGCTTAGGCTGTTGCCCCCACAACCTGGTGCCAGATACACATAAGAAAATGAATGGATGGATGGATGGATGGATGAATCTATGGATGGAGAAAGTTTTCCTTGCCCAGCTTTTCAAGAGTTACAAATACACAACTCATATGATAATTCAAGCAAAGAAAGGCAAACGATTAAACCCTTATGAGCGAAGAAAAACATTTGTGACTACTTTATTAAAAAAAATTGTATGGTAACAGGGTTAAATGAGAGTAACAGGCCTGCACAAGATAACGGGGTTGAACGGATGTATTACTTTTATTTGTAGATTATGTCATACATCTGACAAATAAATACCAGGACTACACAGAAATGTTGTTTATCTTTATATAATATCTTATATTTTTTAACATGTTTGAAATGTTTGTTTTATATGTACAGTAACAGGATTGCAAATCAGTGCTGATATTAGAGTTTTCTCAGAAAAGGATGTAAGCTGATAGTTGACTGTGAAAGTCAAGAATAAATATAGAGATATAAACAAAGGAATTAAACTTTTAAATTAATTTCTATTTTGGTAATATAAATATCAAGGTTTGCATTGGTTGGAATGACACAATCTAGTCAGAAAAGACTGGAAAAATACAAAATATATCACAGAGAACTGACCTTTCATCTAACCACGGTGTTAACACGCAGCTCAATCGTGTCACTGATTTTTTGTCAAGTCACTCACTGTTTAGGCTGCACATAGGGTTGCAGTGTGTAATGACTCTTCTTTAATATATAATATAAGTTGATGATGAACAAAATCAAAACAAGAAAAAAAGTGGATTTATAACTATTTTTAACTGTTATAAATTAGTTATTGAGAATTTGGCAAGAGAAAAAAAATGCTATTTTGATAGTTCTCAAGAGCTATTTTGCATTTAAATTATATTTTGGAATTGAACCACCTTCACACTACAAATGTATGTTGTAGTCCTTTGTGAGTGGATTGTATTCAAATTCATATGTGTGTGTGTGTGTGTGTGTGTGTGTGTGTGTGTGTGTGTGTGTGTGTGTGTGTGTGGGGAGTGGGGGCAAAGAAAATCTCCTGCATTTGTACGATGGCTCACTAACAGTGACAAAAGTGAGTGTTAAGACCTCTCCAGTGCACTTGCTATCACTGTTATTTGCACCAAATCAGGTGAAATTGTTTCACAATGACTCATGGCTTCCTAACTGAACAGATTTGCATCCCTGGAGATTAACTAACTTTGTGTTAAACCTTCGATACTCTGACCCCTTACTTATTTCACGTCTTGTCATATTAACACATTTTTTATGGCGCACTCCTGTGCAGCAGACGGCGCTACATGTATCACGAGGGCTCTGGTATCCACCAATCCAAAGAGCTCCAGGTTGTGGGCATGAACTATTTTGACCGCTTTGCTTTCGTCTCATTCGTGCTGTCCAATCAAGCTCCACTAAAGCGAGGCACCGCCAAGATCAGATTGTGAGAGACGCTGCTGTAGCAAGGCTAACGGAAAGTCGATAGGAAAGGCTAGCGAGCGATCTGTTAACCTGTAAGGTGCACCGGTAAGCAGCATCTACTCAACTGCAGCTTGTCACTCAGCTGACGCATATGATAGCACTGACGTTAAATATCTGTATGACCGTCTATTGTTTGTTAAGTATATAGGAAAAAAAATGTTACCGCCAATAAATACAAAGCTAACCGTCGAGGTAAACTTGTAGCTAATTCTGGGGTTGTCGATGACAGCTGGGGTTTAGCTTCTGTGCTAACCCACTAGCTAGTCAGTGGGCTAACAAAGCGCTGAAGCACCTACTTCTTGAAGTGCAATCGCGAGCTAACTCAGTGTTAAAATAAACATTTTAATAATAAAGTAAAGTACCTTTTGCATTGCATTTAATATATCCTCTTTCAAGTCGCTAACTTACGGCATGTAGCTGACGGTAACGAAGTGAAGAGCAAAGCTAGTTTTTGCGGTTCATGATGATTGTAATCGACCTGATTACAGTAACGTACTTGTATTGGATCCATATGCAACAGTTCGTTTGGAAGCGAACCTTATAAAAACTAATATTTAAGTTTTAGACACCTCAAAATGGCCACCTTTCTGTGAATTTAGCGTCAGGAAAGTATTCGTAAGGCTCTTCGTGTTTTATTAAGAACAAATAAGAAAGGTTACGCGATTAAATGCGTGGAATAATAATAACAATGGTAATACTAATAAGTCGAGGGTTTAAATGTAACTTCCAGACAACAAAGCGTGTTATTCATTAGTTAGCTATGTGTTTTGATACTGGTTACTACACTGGCAAAAGGAGGTCAGCGGTTGACAATAAAACGCAATCAACTCACGGAGTATATACGGCTACCTGCAACTGGTATTTTAGAAGTTGTGGTTAACTGTGGCAAAAAAATTTATCGTCTGGATAAAATCCACCTTGCTGGCATCGATGGCAAACTTTGTTTACTTTTTCAGTCTCTTTGACTTGGAAACGATCACTCTTTGTACAGCTAGCACACAGCAAGTTATGCAAATCCTGTCATGGCTTGTTGTATTAAAAAATAAGCTTAAAAGTGAAATACTCAATGTGAATACATTATTTCGTACTTCAAATTAACTATATAATTGTTAAAAAGTATCTCGACATTTCTTAGTTTGTTTCCTGTTTAGTGGGGATTTAGACCTCCTCTTCCTCCATTCTCAAATGCCAACAACAACAGCCGTCGAGGAGACAGAGTGCACTCGTAAGCGCATACAGTCACCACAGTGAAGCTCATTCATCGTGCGAAAGGCACGTTCACTATTTTAAGTGTTAACCCATGCTGAAGTGTAGCTGGGATCTGCAGCACGGAACCAATAATCGCAACATTTCTACATGAATCGTCTCAGAGCGTGCAGGAGCTAACTAGTAAGCTAAGACCAGCAAGCTGGGTCTACCGCTAGCTGTTAGCAGCTAGCTGCGTCCAACAAAAGATTGTTCGTGCTAATCGACATATAATATGACCGCTGTTACAGTATCATGCAGCCACAGTGCCTGGAGCCATATAGTGCCTTCTCTGTTGCGACATTATCAGTTTAGCGCTGTTGTGATAAAGTTCGCTTGTTTGCGTGACCTGTAGCAGAAGTTGGACGGTGCCTCTCCTCCGGACGTGCTCGGTACCTGAAGTAGGCCTTGTGCACACTTAGCGTAGTAAAAGTTGTGAGCATCAAGGGATGGCTTAATATGGTTTCCTGCATAAAAAGAACACTTAAAAGTACTGCTCGGTGGCTCGTTCACGTGAGATTGGTGTGAGAAGCGTACATGTCTGCGCATTTTGGATAATAAAACAAACAGTGACGCTAACATTGGTGATGTAGTTAGCTTTCTACAATGTGCTCTTAGCAAGCAGACCAGATGGGCCTTACTTCAGAAATAAGTTTAAATTTCCTCTCCAAAACAAAGTGAAACACAGCTTAGCTTGGGAAACAGTATTGGGAAATATAATGTTTGGGTCAAACTGCAATTTTGTCATTATTTAAGTAATAGTTTGTTCTCTTTCTGTTTGCAGGGGTCTGAATAGTGACTGGCAGAAGAAAAGTCTTTTTAACCTAAAGCATACCTCTTTTCGGTCCTTTGGGATCATGGCTAAAGATGTAAGTAAATATATACATGGTTTCATGAGAAACATCAGGCTATTTCTGCGGTGTCACTTAAGTACTGTAGCTAATTTGGGTCCTTCAGTTTACTGGCTGCACTTAGTCTTGTAGTGTTTTCTTTTCTTTTTCTCTTTAAATAGACTGTGGGATTTGTTTAGTGACTTCATAGTGGAGTGGTTTATACATTTGCCTTACAAAAGATCCCCTGTTAGGTCCTGGAAGGTGACATAGTTCCATTGAATCAGGAAGGGCATCCAGCGTTAAAACTGTGACAAATCAAACTTGTGCAACTCGCTGCGGTGACCATTCGTAAATAAGGCATCAGCCAAAAGTAGCTTCTACTGTATGGAGTTTGTTTAACTTGACTCGTCTTCAATTCTTTGGTTTCTGTAGTATATTAAGTTGTTCTCTTTTACAGGCTGGTCTAATTGAAACCAATGGAGAGCTAAAGGTTTTCATCGATCAGAATCTGAGCCCTAGTAAAGGTATATTTTATGTATATTTTACAGAAATTGTGCATATGTGATATGCAGGGCTTTCTAAGCAACATGTACAGTCTAGTTTAAGAGGCAGCAGAGCTGTTTGTTGGTAGGTGGACAATAGGGGGCAATGGTGTTTCATTCAAAAGCTTCCCTCATTAATGATCTTCTCATGTCTCCTATAAGGTGTCCTGTCCTTGGTTACTGTCCAGCCCACAGCTGCCCCTGTGGCCAAACAGCTACTACCCAAAACCCTTGGGCCATCCAATGTGAACGTCGCTACACACATGCAAAATGTGCCACACATGGTGAGTGAGGTCCTGTTAAGTCAGCATTATGTGGTTTCTTTTCTCTTAAGGCGTAGAAACCCTCAGCAAATTTAAAGAATGCTTTGGCTCTGCTAAATATTAGCTAGATGAATTTTTGTAGGGTTTTACTCTGCTTTATATGAATGTTGTATAAGCCCCCTCCATTATCATTGTGAGGTGACCGGGGAGAGGGTAGCTGGAGGCAGTTGATCCTAAGCTCATCAACTCTACAGTCAGCAGGATTACACCCATCATCCCATTATGTACAAGGAATGTATACATAACGGAAATCAGCTTAGATATCACCTTACTAAAGGAATAGATCACCCGTCTTCAAGATGCCTCACATTGCTGTTAGGGATGCAGTTTTTTTAAAGCTGTGTCTTTAACTGTCATCAGCCCAATTCAGCATCAGGTTTTTATTAGTCATCATAAATGACTGAAATTCTAAAAATGTCTTATTTCTCCCTTAAAGCTGTATTCAAACAATCGCCAATGATGATTTTCATGACAAACCAAATATTTTGCTTACAAAGTCAAATTCTGTCAAATGAAATAACTGTCATTTAACTTTACTGCTTCACCTGTCAGCTTTCTAATGCAAGGCCAAATGTATTTAAATCATTCCTTATTGCACTGAGGGTAGTTATAGCTTTCTGCAAGGTATCCTCAAAATGACAGAAATCAGCAGAAGATGCGCGTCCTAAAGAGAGTGAACAGAGTCCCACCTTGAGTTTATGTTCAGTGTGAATTGGTTCTTGTAGTTAAACATAAAATATTTAAGTGTGAGGCTTTAGAAGAAATATTACATGTCAAGATTTGAGTACATGAGGTTTTAGAGGAGAAACTCATTGTTGATGACAACAAAAGCATGACTATCAGTGTGTGTTCTTTCTCTTCTCTGTGGTCTTCCTGTAGGTGATTGGAACACCCCAGAGGCCTACCGTATCGAACACCATTTTGGTAAACAGTCCACACACACCCAGTTCCCAGTTCCTCACACAGAGTCAACCAGCCGATGCCTCTCCTTGGTCATCAGGGTAAGGCTTCAAATTGCCCTTAAGATTTTAAGCTTGGGACATTATTGGTGAGCTCTGTCCAGATTAAGCTAAGCATTTTAGAATGGGTCAAGTCTGATAGCTATTCATAGCAATAATAAAAAAAAAAAAAGTGAATGCCAGATTGCCACACATCAGTGTGTTTGTGTTCATAGTGACGTGGGCTCGTTTGTTTTTTTTTTTTATGTTTGCAGAAAACGTGGGAAGAAAGGGGAAAAGAATGGGAAGGGCTTGAGGCATTTTTCCATGAAGGTGTGCGAGAAGGTGCAGAAGAAAGGAGTGACCACGTACAATGAAGTGGCAGATGAACTGGTGGCAGAATTCAGCTCATCAGACAACCACATGTCACCGAATGACTCAGTGAGCACTGCCGCTGTGTGATACTGTCTCAGTGATGCAGACTGATTACTCCTGATGAAGATATTTTAATTCTAAGATATATTTTTTAATGTTTTGAATTGCGTCTTTTTTTTTCTCTCTCATTTCAGCATGTGTATGACCAGAAGAACATTCGGCGACGCGTTTATGATGCACTTAACGTGCTTATGGCCATGAACATTATTTCTAAAGAGAAAAAAGAAATCAAGTGGATTGGTCTACCCACCAACTCAGCGCAAGAGTGCCAAAACCTAGAGGTAGAAACGCACAGCGAAGACAGTCACTCCTGCTTTTGTTACCAGTGTTAAAACGCTTTTATTTCAACTGTAGGTGGAGAGACAAAGGCGGCTGGAGAGGATTAAGCAGAAACAATCACAGCTTCAGGAGCTCATACTGCAGGTTGGATTTGAGTGCTGGTACTTGTGTGATCAAAGGGGGGCTACAATTATAGTCTTTATAGTGGTAATTGTGCATCAGGGCTGCAGAAGACGCTTCATAAATACCCCACGAACTGATTGGCCTCTTTAGATTGCTTTTGTCTGCGTTTTGTCTCTTTTTGTGATGCTGGATCATAATGAATCAGTAATAAACAGAAGTTCTTCTCATTGAATCTCTATATATGCAAGTAGCACATGCAAAATGGCAACTTAAAATTGTTACAATGTAAAAGAAAAAATTAGTATTTTAAAAAAAAAAAAAAGCATAAATATATCCAAGAATGCTGTAGTGCTACACTTAGTTCTTTGCAGCTGTTTGAGTTTTAACTTGTCTTTGATCTTGTCTTACAGCAAATAGCTTTTAAGAACCTGGTTCAGAGGAATAGGCAGACAGAGCAGCAGGCAAACCGACCTCCACCTCCCAACTCCATCATCCACCTTCCTTTCATTATTGTCAACACCAGCAAGAAAACTGTCATTGACTGCAGCATCTCCAATGACAAGTGTGTGATCATCAGCTCTGTTATTTAAAATGCTGGCACTTGGAATAATTTGTAACTGGGGGGGGAAAGAAATTATCCAAAAAGTGGGGGAGGTGTTCACATTTTCATCGAGGCGCTGGTAGTGCTTCACCGGGCTGTATTTATTAGGGCTTTAATAAATAGTTGCGGAACAACATGTACTTGACAACAGCCCGTCAGCCACATAAGCTGCTTTATTTTTTCTAGCCATGTGACATGATTGTATGTAATACCTTGGAGCTGCATAGGTGGGAAACTCAACTATAATTGCAGGTTAATTGTGTTCTGGTTCTTGGCAAATAAGCTAAAAGAGGCTTGGAAGCCTTCTGTCAGTGCAAAGCCATTATAGTGTGGTATCAAGATGTGCATTATAACAATAACTAGAATCTCCTCATTTTTAACTCAACATTTCAGTGTGTATAGGATTAGTGGCTGACTTGAAGAAGTAAATATGAGGCCTTCCCACATGCAACTAAACCAGGGGTGTCCAACTCCAGGTCTCAAGGGCCGATGTCCTGCAGGTTTTAGATATCACCCTGGATCAGGACACCTAAATCAACTGATTAGTTCATTACCAGCCTCTGGAGAACTTCAAGACATGCTGAGGAGGTAATTTCGTCATTTAAATCAGCTGTGTTGGATCAAGGACTCATCTAAAACCTGCAGGGCACCGACCCTTGAGGCCTGGAGTTCGACACCCCTGATCTAAGCTAATCCCCGCTTTGTAGATTAACTTTATTTTGAAAGGAATACTAGTAGCTGTCCTCAACGGGCTAACTAAAATACTCTAGAACCTTTGGCTAATTTCTTCTTAGCCAAAGGTGTTGAAAATGGGACCCATGTTCTATTCTATTCAGTATGCTGTCCTTGATTTGGTACCCATGATCTTCTTTAAAATTAGAACGAACACTTGTTTGGATAATTGACCCTTTCCCATTTTTCCACTCTTCAGGTTCGAGTATTTGTTTAACTTCGACAGCATGTTTGAGATCCACGATGACATCGAGGTGCTAAAACGTATGGGCATGGCCTGCGGCTTGGAGGTGGGAAAGTGTTCTCCAGAGGATCTGAAAATCGCACGTAGCCTGGTGCCCAAAGCTCTAGAGCCTTATGTTATAGGTAAGTGACCAATATCCCTATGAGTTCGGCCCCCCTACCCCCCCTGGAAATTACGCCCCTGGTACTTGGTGCAGTTGTGAACACAGTAATCACACTTGGATGGGGACCAAACAATTGGACCAAGACCCTTTGGAGCAGCGGTCTCCAACCCCTGGGCCACGGACCGCTACCGGTCCGTGAGTCATTTGGTACCGGGCCGCAAGAGTTGAGGCTCAGGTGGGAAACTTATGGTTTTCAGAGTTTTTATTCGTTTCTATCGTTTTTGTTTTTTTTTTAATCATTTTTATCGTTAACTCTGTTTCCCTGGGTCTTTTCCCCTGTGGTGCAAAAAAGGTTGGGGATCGCAGCTTTGGAGGGCAGGGTCTTGGGACACTTTATAAAGAAAATAAATTTAAAAAAAAACAAACCTCCAGTGCGGCTTATGGTATGATGATCTGACCTAACTACCAGGTCTGCATTTTCTGAAAATGAGTGAAAAACAGCTACACGTTTGCAAACTCGTCAACTCGGTCTAGAGTGAGAGGTGAGAAAAACAAGCTTAGACAGAAACTGCTTCAAAGGGTTAGTCTTCATCTGCAGTTAAAGTAGGCAAGAATCTGATTGTGCTTTCTGAATCCCTTTGTTCTATATCTCTTATCCCCACTCAGGTCTGCAAATAGTCGAAGGTCTTCATTCTAATTCATTTTCTCTTTATCCAGAAATGGCCAAAGGTCCCATCAGTAACGTCTACATCACTGGAGGTTCCTCTGCTAATGGAGCCCGTTACCCTGCAAACAGGTAAGAGTTGCTAAATGTGATGTAGCTCTAATGTGCACACTGCTTTTTCTAACATTTCCCCATCCTCTTATGCAGTGATGGCTGCACTGATGGCACCATGGCGTCCAGTTCAAACGATTCTCACTACAGCGGGTCTCGTGTGGAGACTCCAGTGTCTTACATGGGGGATGACGACGATGAGGATGAGTACGATGAGAATGACGATGAAGACTAACCTCCCTACACCTCGCCACTCCAACAAGCACAGTCTTCAAAACCACCCTCACCGTGGGAATTTAGTCCACTGTCGTGTGTGCTTTTTTTTTTCTTTTCTCCCCTCCGCCCTGTTTACCTGTATTTCTGTCTGGCTTTCTCAGGGGTGTCGATGAAAATTAAAAGAACAGAGGTGTTTGCACCCACCTTTTTCTGCTCCTGAGTCACCTGCACCACAGCTCAGTGGGAGGTGTCGTCCAAGGGAACTGTAGTCTTTGTCCCTGCCACCTGAAGTCTTTGTCTAATCCACTTCTTAATAAGCCATCCCACTAAAAAGCAACTCTAAGGCCTACTGCTGTTGGAGAATGTATAATGTACCTGTTTGACTTATAATTTTTTTTCTGCAGTTGCATATGGCAGACATGATCAAAATGTTCCAAGGTGGCCAAAGTGTCTGCTGTGAGATGTGTTGTTAGTGCAACACCATGGATTCGGAATGGCTTAACACAGATGCCACTGCATCACAGTATGGGGCTCCATCACATCTCGTCATGCTTTGTTTGTTTTGTTTTGGTTTTGTGTTCTGAGCAATTTGAAATGGTTTCCCGATTGTTTTTGGGCTGGCTTCCTTCTGTTCCGTAGGCAGCTGCTTTCCTGATCTTCTTTGCTAGTTTTATTTGTATTCCAGAGTTGAGGAATTCTCCATCACCGCCCTGTTAATGCCTTGGTAGTGTTTACAAAATAATGGCAGCAGCGAGGTAAAGACTTTCATAACCCAGGCTCCTAGGTAAATAAGCTTTCTTTGTTAATTACATATATGAATCCTACAACAATTGTAGCTTATAGTTTCCTTTAGAGGCCAGTGGTAAAGATAGACCTACAAAAATTATTGATGTAACAATGTGTGGTTGTATAGGTCTTTATGTACACCCTTCAAAGATCTCCCTTTTAAAACTGAGCAACACGTGTACTGACTCTTCCAAATACCTTTTTCTGTAATCTAATATAAGTTTGCAAATTAAATATAGATTGTTTTAATAAGTTTGTATCCACAATTCATGATTTTTCTGGGGTTGGGGTAAGGTCGACTGTCTGTTGGGTTGGAAACAAAGTTTGCTTAAATAGTAATATGAGAGGTGAGCAGAAGGCGCTAGAAACGTCTAGCTGGGTCGTTGTCTCAACCCTGTCTATTAAAAGAACTGGGGAAGGAAACTAGCTCGGTTTTTAAAGAAGTTGACTGCTTGTCAAAAGAAAACCACAAGGGATACACTGCTTGGATGCCTAACACTTGGGAAAAGGATGCCTGACAATGATTATGCTGCTGCAGTGTGATTGGTTCTTACATTATGCTAGTTTGCTTTCTGTCAGCAGTTTTTAATTAGATTTGGCCAAAAACTGTGGATACACTGCAGATACTGGAATATTGGGGGGGGGGAGCATTTATTTTAGCATCTGTTAATTCTCTGATAAACCGGATCCTGTGACTTGTTTAGAGCTGTTGAGTTCTTTTAATTCAGAAATCCTGGAAGACTAACAGTTTATCTAATTTTGGCTCTGGAATCCACCATAAAAAATACAAAATAACACACAGATGTGGTTGGAGGGAGTTTGCTTAAATTTAATTAAACTGTAAAATTACACCAATTTTATACATGGGCCCCAATGAAATTAGACAACTTCCAATAAAATAAAGAAAAATTACAAATGACTGAAATCTATAAAACTATGGATATTACAAAGAATGAGTTTTGCCATTTTTGATGTCTTGCCCAACCTCCTTCGATTGTTTGTTCGTGGGTTTTTCTACCTAATTTGGTTGGTTTGGCATTGTCATTGCATAACTTTCCACTTTACCTTTGTCCAAACACATTTGGGTTGCTCTTGCATTAACGTTTAATTCACTGTTTTAAGCTTTGCTGCGTTTGGCTGAAGACAGTAAAGCTCTGTACGATTCAGAATTCATCTTGCTGCTTCTGTGTTTTGTCACATCATCAATAAACAGTCGTGAAACCAGTTCCAGTGGAAGCATGCATGTCCATACATTACACTGCCTCTGTTGTGTTTGGATTATGTAGTATGCTTCGATTCATATTCTGTCCCACGCCTCGTCCATCCTGTTTTGTTTTGTTTCTCCCTCCCATCATTCTGTTACAGGCTGCTGTTGTAACTGTCCAACAGTGCTGTTCCTCAGTATGATTTGGGTCAGTTGTCCATCCACAGTTCACAAGAATCACTACTTCTCCTACAGTGCTAGTTAGTTTTTACTTGTGCACAGCTGTCACCCAGTGGGTCTTTAACCTGTTCTCATGATCATATTCATAATGGATTGTGAGCCAGATTAGGCGCTACTTTGATGTTGTTGTTGTAGATGGTTTTGGTCAAGTCTGTATGTTCTTTCATGGGCTCTTTATGGTAGACAGGGACCATTCCTTTGACAGGATAGGTGGTGTTTGTCTTTACCATGGAAAGGATCCTGTGATCATCCCGCTCTATTTTTATTCTGTTTACTAAGCATTTTCACTAGTGCGTTTTGTGTTGTTGTTGTTGTTTTGTTTTTGTTTTTTTGCTGTCAAAGAGTGGCCTGTTTAATTTGCATTGAGGGCTCATTTGAACATATAGAATTTGAAAGCTGCCGTTTCCAGCAGCAGCTTCCAGAAGTGCTATACTTGAACGTGTTGCCTTTACCTGCTTGATTTATGACAAAATGACAGGATTAGACAGGTACATTCTGGGTAGGATCTCATAAATTGCCGACAACAAGAAAAAGCAAATTCCTTCCGTCCATAATGGAACCTGGGGGACTGAACACACTGTTCTTGCGACCTGAACTAGATATATCGCCATTCAAAGTTAAATAAGACACTTCTGAGGATCATCCTTATGTAGGGCCTGCTTTAAACAGTGTTTCTTTGCTGACTCGTGGCTAATGGAGTGATCTCAAAGACTTCTCTTGGCCTTACATTTAGTATTTAGCCATATTTTCCATTTTAAATGCAATATTTTGAAACTTTTAATATTTTTCCCTATGCTGCCAAACCTTATTGGCTGTTAAAAACATCCCAGTGCATTTCAGCATTTGGTAGGCCTTTTGGGTTATCTCAAATATTATTCCTCATTCAAACTGAAGCTTTAATGTGAAGCAGAGTGGTGCTTATAGGCTGTATGAACTGCTAACTGGTTTGCCAGTTGACTGGTGATATCCTGCATATATGCTGCTTGTGTTGTTCTGTTCCAGCATGTGCTCGCACACTTTGTCTGGGGCATTGGGGTGTTAATGGATTACTGAAAGGTGTTGACTCAGGTGTGTGTGTGTGTGTGTGTGTGTGTGTGTGTGTGAGAGAGGGTGGTACAGTGCTCAAAGTGTGCTGGGATCTAGTTCAGTCTCCAGTTCCCGTTTGTCTCTCATGCTCCCTCTGCCACTCTGCTGTGATCTGTCTCCTGTTCTCTCAGTCTTGCTTCAGCCTGTCCTCTTTTTCTTCCTCACCCCTGCGCATTAGTTGGCAGCATTTACCGTTCACCGCCTTTCTCTCTTTGCGATGTCTTCTTTTTGCATTGCTTAACAGTCACTTACCCTCAACATGGATATCGGAGGACTCACAACCGTGGTAGCAAATTCTGCTTACATCAATGCTCGTGGAAGCATCGATGGCTCTAATCCAGCAGCAGCTCGGGATAAAAAGTACCACTCTCGCCTCAAATTGCCCCACATCACTGTGTGCGAGGGTCTGAAGGACACCCTAGATTTATCCTTTGACTCAGTCTGTGTTGAACAGCCAATTGGCAAACGTCTCTTTAGGGAATTCTTGGACGCAAACAAAGAGTATCACGGGGCATGTCGCTTGTGGAAAGACATCGAGGACTATGACCTGGCAGAGGACTCTGAAAGGGCAAAAAAAGCTTCGAAGTTAGTTCAGCGTTACATGGACCCCTCTGCCAAACACTTCTGCCCGTTCCTCAGTGAGGACATCATAACGAAGGTGAAAGAATCCCTCGAGGCTGTAGGTGATGATTTGTTCTCTGCAGCGCTGGCCAAGACTTTGGACTATCTGCGCGAGGCCCCCTACACTTTCTTCCTGGAGAGCATGTACCTGAAGAGGTTCCTGCAATGGAAATGGCTGGAGATGCAGCCCATGGATGAAGACTGGTTCCTCGATTTCCGTGTGCTGGGGAAAGGTGGGTTTGGAGAGGTGTCTGCCTGTCAGATGAAAGCCACGGGAAAACTGTACGCCTGTAAGAAACTCAACAAGAAGAGGCTGAAGAAGAGGAAAGGCTACGAGGTGAGAGAATTAATGTCATTTGCTCGATGCTCATTTACTGAACATGCCTTTGGCTTTTTGCCTCCCCCAGTGGTGGAAGAAAACCATTTTAAATGGGGGCAAAATCACAGCATCGAAATACTTTGTGAGAAAACATTTATCAACAACGTAGAAGATCTCATCAGGCAGAGTATTTCCTCTAACAGGATTATAATTATTCATACATGTATATAATAACATGGCTTTCATAATGCAGCTCCTATCTGGGGATATTTGAACTACTACCCGAGTAACTGCCACGACTAACACAACACACTGACATAATCATGCATAATTCATCTGTTCATTCTTTTTTGTATTATCTGAAGTAAAAGTTACTGCAAACTACTAGTAAACAAGGTAAAACGAACAAAACATACTTCAGACCCTAATGAGCTTTTGCAGATTTCTAATATCTGTTTCAGCTGGATGGTAATAAATATATTTAAAAATGAAATGGCTTTCTCTCCATGTAATGAGATGTGGAAATTGGAAGCTCTAAGGGAGAAATTTTTTAACAACCTAAAAGTAGAATTAGTTTTGACCGTATCAGTTATTTATTTTATCACTGTGTAATGAGTGGCATCCTTTGTAAGTGCCTTCCACTGAGCAGGGCTGCAATGATGCTAATCATCTTTGTCCCTGCCTCTGTCTCATTTGGCTTTAGCCTGCAGTATTAAACACTGAGACAGGGATAGAGTGATTACTGGGAGCTTTATGGAAAAGCTCTTCTGAAGGGAACTCCTTGGCGCTGTTGCATTTTGCCCTTGACTTGTCCGAGGTCATTCTCTGAAGTGTATACCTGAACCTCTCCTCCAAATGGCACACACAATGAGACAAACATTACAGTTTGGTTCAACCTGAGCAACGAAACATCCATTTAGTTTCACATTGTTATTCTTAATTTAAAAGATGGCATGTGAGCATTTTTCAAAGTTGTCTTTCCTATTTGTTTCCTGTAGGGGGCGTTGGTGGAGAAATGTATTCTTGAGAAGGTTCACAGTCGCTTCATTGTGTCGCTGGCATACGCCTTTCAGACAAAGGAGGAGCTTTGTCTGGTCATGACCATCATGAATGGAGGAGATCTCAAGTAACTTTGTTTTGAAGCATGAACATCTGGCTGTAGCACACACCCCTTAACCCTTATTAGCATGTTGTTGCTTTAGTTGCAGCCTAAACTTCTATAATCTTTAAGTATCTCCTTTGCCAGCGAAGCAAAGGTTATTACAGAGATGTTGAAGTCCGCTGTAATGTGCTGGAAATGACATTCACCCAGATGTGTCAGTGTTCATCTGCAGACTTAGTGTAACAAGTGCAGAGTCAGATTATGCACAATTTCAGCTAAAATATAAAGTATTTGCCTTTTTAGCTCAGATTACTTAGAAAGCAAGACAATAGATTTTTTTTTCTTATTTAAAGCAAACATCCTTTAATCCTAGAAAATCAAATTTTAATGCTTACAGTCTGCACACGTAGAACCAGCAGCGTATGGGCATGCTTAAGATGTAAAACACTGCAAATGTGTGCATATTGAAGGCCTTTAATAATTAGCCTTGGCTTATCTGTTCCCTGTAGGTACCATGTTTACCTGGTGGATGAAAACAACCCAGGGTTTGATGAGCCTCGAGCCTGTTTTTACATTGCCCAGATCATCCAGGGCTTGGAGCACCTCCACCAGAAAAGAATCATCTACCGAGATCTCAAACCAGAAAATGTGCTGCTTGATAATGACGGTAATACATTATAATCACATTTTTGGACAATAATATGAGTATGAGCTAATAATATATGTTTTTTTTAAATCACAACAGGGAATGTACGTATATCTGACTTGGGTCTTGCTGTGCAACTAAAAGAAGGCAAAACCATGACAAAAGGCTATGCTGGGACTCCAGGTGGGTCTCATCTGCACCCACTGAGAAATCTGTATGCAGGTTCACGTTTAAGGGTAATCTTGCAGGTTTAATTTTTAATTGTAGCTCATCTTGTCGTTGTTTTTATTTTTATTTTTTGCAGGTTACATGGCACCAGAGATGCTAAAGGGAGAAAAGTACGACTCCTCCGTTGACTACTTCACTCTTGGAGTGACTTTATATGAGTTCATGGCTGCTAAGAATCCGTTCAGAAACAGAGGAGAGAAGGTGAGAGTCTAAACTGCAGGTGGTACTTTCTGTGCAAAGAAAGCAGACAGAGGAAAGAAGAGGTTTAGAAGCTGTTGATCTTCTTCTCAGGTGGAACGTGAGGAGATGAAAGAGCGTATGCTAACTCGGGTGGTGACCTACACTGACAGCTTTAGTGAGCATGCAAAGTCGTTGTGTGATGGGCTGCTGGCCAAGGAGGTGGATCAGAGGATGGGTTTTAAGAATGGATGCTGTGACGAAATCAGAGCACATCCATTTTTCAGCGGCATTAACTGGAGGAAACTGAACGCAGGTAACCTTTCGATATTTGCTCAAGATCTTTTTGATTTAGGAAAAAGTTTGAAGCCACTAACCATTTAATGTGGTGCTTAATTCAAATTTGTCACTTTATTTCAGGAATTCTACCTCCTCCTTTTGTCCCTGACCCCAAAGTAGTGTATGCTAAAAGTCTGGATGACGTCGGGGCATTCTCCTCTGTGAAGGGGGTGGCATTGGAAGATCCTGATAAGAACTTTTTTGACGAGTTCTCCACGGGCAACATCTCCATTCCTTGGCAAGAGGAGATGATCGAGATGGGAATTTACGGAGAGCTCAACGTTTGGGGCCCTGAAGGCACCATCCCCAACGATCTCCGCAGGGAGTCCATACTAGAGCAGCCAAAGTCATCGACGTGTTGCTTATCTTAGAGTCACTAACACGCGTGAACTGCACAGACTTTCGTTTCTTTAGAGCATGCGGCATGAAGACACCATGAGAGACACCAGTCGGTTCTGAACTTTGTGATCGCACACTGAAAAAGTTTATGTCGACATGGGAACAGCAAGAATAGACTGGAGGCGGACTTCCAGCCTGAAATGAACTTGATCATAGATTTAGGTGTTGAAAAATTCCAAATTGCTGACATCTGTCATCTATTGTCCCTTCAGTCTTCTGCCCCTCATCTCCTTTCACCATCAACCTGCTCACTTACTTCTCTTTATATGTATATGTGATGAATTATTGTAAAGCTTTTAGATTTAAAATGCATTAAAAAAAAAATCCCATTTTGGAGCCAGGGTTTAGTGATGTGTTATCTTTGGTGCTAAGTGACAGTTACATGTTGACCATGTAAGAGCTGCATATCTGCTCCTGTAGGGTTCATGCCACTTAATAGAAGGTGTCTTTTTTTCTTAGTGTTTAATACATACTAAATGCTAACACATCAGAGATGCAAAGTCTCGTGCCTGTGGAACTCTTTTTCTTAAGGGGTTTATTTCATGGGTTTTGATGACTTTCGATGGTTTTATGACTATTCCAGCGCAGAGTCACTTTGATAAGTTTATGTAGTCTAGATAGTGTGAGACAAATATGAGTATAGGATGAATGTTTACGGTAAAATTATTTATTTTCAAGAACTGTCGGACTGAAGTTGAAATATCAAATATTTGGGACAAAACACCCCAAATCTGGCAAATAAAATAGCTTATTGAAACTTGAGTCAGGAACTTCATTTCTGCTTAATGATGGTTATAGCACTGTCCAGGAATGTAAGCACAGATCAGAACCAGGCGTGGAATATTTCATAACCTTTGACATCACTGGAAGCTCCCACTCCTAAAGCCTCCTTGTCACTCCTTTGCCATGGCTTTATAAATCCTGATCTCCTGCTGCGGCAGCTCGGTCAGCAACGTGGTGTTAAAATGGCTCTTAAAGCACTCTGTGAACCTCAGGTCTGACTGGAACCGGATCTTGTTGGCCCACAGCAGCGTTGTTTGACTTCCTGGTGGGCAAAAGTGACGCATAGTTTTCAACAGTTCTTCAAGGCAGTCGTGGTGATAGACCACATCAGCTGCGAGCACGAAGTCGTAGTGGTATGATGCATAGGGGAAGTCTCGATCCAGGTCCTGACCCCAGGAGAGAGCAACCACTTGAGGGGTGTAGCGGCAGCGGCCCCTGGTGTTTCGCAGCAGGTTGAAGGTCAGGTTAGATAATATGTCTGGCAGATCTGTTGCTGTCACCCAAGCACCTGGCAAAAAGTGGGTTGAAACGCAAAACAACAGAGACATCAAAACATAATTATTTTTTTAAATTTTGTAATTATTGTGCATTTTGTTATGGAAGCTTGTTTCCCCCTCTAAAAAAAAGAAAACTATTCCTAACTGGCAGTCAAAACTTCAAGTTATTTTCTCAATTTGGTAAATATATTTTTTTAAATAAAAGCAACAATTCTTAACTTGTGGATAACAAAAAACGAAACTAAATATAAACTTACAGGCTGCTTTGAGTTTTTCACTAATTATAGTTTCTGCTGAACCAGTAGCAAAATGATTTACTCTAATTGTAAGGAATTTTGGTGAGCAAGCTGAAGTTGCATCGTTTTTGTTTTATTTATTTATTTTTTCCAAGTTTTTTACTTTAAATTCAATCATTTTATTTTATTGGGAATAAATGAAACCTTTGTTTCCACTCTGGGCTTAATGGAGGGGCTTATGGATAACAGCATCAATCCAGTGATCGCTGTATCCATAATATATCTAAGTTACAACCCCTCTGTTGTATGCAGTACAGGAGAACTATGTGGGAGGATGGTCGTTGTGCTTTAACAATGAATTCCAGTGTTTTTAGTTGCGTCATGACTTTTCCCGCGAGTTCCATCACCAAGCTGAAATGTAACTTTTGCATAAAAGCAGAAATATGAAATATTCAGTGCACACATTATGCGCGAGTGGGAATTAACCCTTTATGGATTTTTCTTTGTCTTAAAGCCAAGAATATCACCACTTAACTAAGTCCTAAGCAGAGATGGGCAGTAACGCGTAACTTGTAAATAATTACTTTTGAAAATAAGTAATCAGTAAAGTAACGGGATTACTTTTTGGGGGGAAGTAATCAGTAATTATTTACCGATTACTTTTTTTTAAGTAACTTGACCAACACTGGTCCTAAGTAACAAATATAAACTAGTGTATTGCCAGTTTATTAGGATGCATCATTTATTCTTAAATGAATGTGTTCCCAACATCAAATCTAAAAGATTAAAGGTAAAGTTTCATACATGCAGCACATGCACAACTGCATTATCAAAATGCACTTACCAAGCAGACTTGCTACAATAGAAGCTAAGCCAGTCCCAGCTCCAATCTCAAGTACTGCTTTGTCCATCAGGTTCACTTGTTGCTGGTTGTTCTCCAAGAACTGGCACAAAGCTATTGCCTACAAAAATAAAATTCTTGTCACATTTGCAACACATTTTCAAAATGAGCCAATGCCCACGGCAGCCCCTTACCCCAGGCCAGATCAGAGCACCGTACGTATCCATGGACTCTCGGATGCTGATGTCATGACCGGCAAAATGAAAAGACTCATTTCCCCGAGCGTAATAAACACTCGGCTCCCAGAGGTTCCTCCTGCTCAGAGCCTCTTTTGCCATCACCCTCTGGTCTGTCAGTACTGCATGAGCAGAGCGTGACATGAAGAGACAGGTTATACTAACAAATTAGCAAAGTTCAGTTAAAAAAAAAAAACGAATTATACTTGCCTGACATGCAAAAACTAGACTTGTACATAAGAGATACAGTTTGAATATACCTTTAATAGCAGTTCCCTCCTCCTCCACCTCCTTATCATCTTCCCTTTTCTTTCCAGGAGGCTTTTGTCTTACTGGCTGGCTGAGTGCAGATGATCTCTCCATAAGCATCTTAAATTAAAGTTCCCATCATGGGTCAAGAAAAAGAAGAAAAAGAAAAAAACCCAAAACAAAATTATTATTATTATTATTATTTTTTAAAAAAGGCCCCTTTATTGTTTGTTCATTTGAATCTCAGTAAAAGTTGGAATGGATTCAGAGTGGACTGGATTTAGTCCGCTAGTCTCTTTGGCTGCCACTGGACTGCGAACTGGAGCCCAGAAACACAGCTGGTTAAATCCTGAGGTCAACAAGCCACAGTCATGGATACAGAGCACACTGTGTTTACCTCAGATGAAAAGCACACTCAGATAAATTCCAGTGCAAAGACTAAAGTTACATTTATACAATTTTATAAAATAATTAGCGTCATTTTAAGAATTTTCAAACGAAACATATTCTTAATAAAATAGAAATAGTTTGCAAGAAGATGTGAAACCTACCAGTAGGAAGTATGCCCCGTGTGTTTTCTTGTTGTGTGTCTGCACTTGCCTCTGTGTGCTCTGAGTTTATACACAGAGCATCGTCTGTGACACACCCCTGAGTAAAGCTGGGGTCTGCTAACATAGTTTCCCCCTCCCAGTAGACTTTATTATATACGCTTTTATAGAATTGCATCCTGTTATCCTGTTTCAGCACTAAGATTTACTGCAGTGAGCTACTTGTTTATTCTCTCCTGTCATCATTAATGCATCACACATCTGTCTTTAGGTAGGTTACAGGTAAAGCTATGGGGACATGTAAATATTTGAAAACAAAATGTTTTCACAGTGAGCCCAATTTGCATATTCATATCAATCATGACAGGGCTCTCAGCCAAACTGTATGAGGCTTTGCAGAGTGGGTGCAACCTGGCATGTCCAAAGATTAGGTTAATTTCTAATGTGCTCAAAGTATAGATCCAGTCTCAGTGTCCAGTCTTAACATTACTTATATGGTTAGCAGTAGTGAGTGAGTTCGTGAGCTCAAAATAGTCGAGCACTTAGTGACAAACGCTACATGTCAGTTTGTGAAATTTCTTCCTAACACTCCTCTGGCATTAACGTCACCACAAACTTGGTGAGCTGGAAACTTCAGGTGCATTCAAGCCTTAAATCACCACCAATGTATAGCATGCAGCCTGTGGACTCTGGAGCAGTGGAAACATGCTCTGTGGACTGTCAGATCCTCTGTCTAGAAGTTCAGTGGATCAGTCTTGGTTTAATGAATCCCAGATGAACTAAACTGTGGTTTTGTGGAGGAGGGATAAGGCTATGGGGCTGTTTTTCTAATTAATCACTAATCTTACAGGACTATCCAGAATATATATACTGTATATTGCAAAATAAAGAACCAAAAGTTGTCAGTGGGGGGGATGATGTTAATGTTTCAGCTTATCAGAGCATTTCGGACAATTCTCAGTTTGGGAAATCCCCTTCAAAAAGCAAGGCATGGTTGGAGGAGCCTGGTGTGAAAGAACTTGACTGGCCCACGAAGAGCTCTGACCTCAGTCCCATCAAACACTTTCGGGATGAGCAGAGAGAGCCAGGTCCTCTCGTCCAGCACAGGTATCTAACCTCACCAATAATTTTCTGGATGAATGGCAAAAATTGTCACAGAAACACTGGTAACACTGGTAACTGGACTTCTTTAGGACATTTCACCTCTCATGGATTGTCTTCTGTTTTCAAGCTCTTAAGACCACCATGATCTAGATGACTGAAAACCTGCTGAAAAGGGGGGGACCAACCAACTGCATTTGGCAGATTAAGTTTTTGTCAATCGCATCATTTTGCTCTCTTTTACAGTAACTTTATTGTTGAGAAGCCCGGTTTCTTCTTTCCGTTGCTTCTCCATCAGTCAGTCAGTGTGTAAACACTCACTAGTCATCTTTTGGTTCCTACTACACACCTGTGAAGTTTTGTAAATGCACAGTCGGGACTCAGATGGATTCTGTACACAAATGACAGACAGTTAATCACTTGCTCAAGAACTTAGAGCCTCCTTTACTCTGTGGGTCAGAGCAGAGACTCACAGAATGGAGACAGAAACAGCTAGCCCGATGCGTTGATGATAATATGCAGAATAAGCTGCAAGATTCGTTGCTTGAGAAAAAGTAAGAATACAATGTGATTTGGTCTAGGCCATACTTACAAAGCAGTAGAAGTGTCTTGCTTTGCAGATTAGATTAAAAACTTAAAGTATGGATGATTTCTCATTTCAAATATTCACAAGTTTGATTGTCTTTTGTCTTCCACTTGCCTATTGATCAATTAACCACCGCTTCCTGTACCAGAGCCAAGGTGAAAGGTAACCCCCCCACTCCCAAAAACGAACAAGTTAAATTTCACAAAAACTAATTTAAGTGGTGGAGCAAATAAGAACCCGTTCATTTTGGTGCTGCTCCGATTTGTTTGCTTAACACTGCAAGGATGGAGGGCTGTGCTTTCTGAGTGGCCTTTTACTTTATGTATGTTTTCTCCATCCATCCTGTTTGGATGTCTTTCACAGCTACTATAGGGCGAGAGGCAGGGCGCACCTTGGACAGGTCACCAAGCTGATGCAGGGCTAACACAGAGAGACAGACAGCCATTCACACTCACACCTATGGGCAATTTAGATTCACCACTTAACCTAATCCTACTAACTGCATGTCTTTGGACTGTAGGAGGAAGCCGGAGTACCCGGACAAAACATACAAACTCCATGCAGAAGCCCACAGCCAGTGGGCACAACAGTGCTAACAACGTTGCCACCGTGCTACCTCCTTTACATTTTCTCAGCATTTTAAAATAACGGAATTCTGATAAAAAATATAAAGTGGATCCATTACATCAAGGTCCATTACTATTCGGAGGTAAATCAGATTTGAGTACAAAAATGTAACATGCTGACTTACTTTCATTTATTCTAATGGTATACACTTTATTAACTTTATCAAACCACTGGTTTACTCACAAAAGGTTCTCAAAATTGAAAGCCTTCAAAAATGAAAATACATTGTAAAATACTGCTTTAGTTTTGTGGATATATATTCATATATTTTGCTAAAATCTAGTGATGTTATCTGGCAGTTTAGAAATGTCATTCAGAGCAAAACAAACAGGATGCTTAATTCTGTAATTTGTTTATGTGGAACTGACATGATGAACACCGATGAATTTAGTACACAGATTAGTGCTGGTATGCATCATCTCTATAAAAGGGAGTGCTGTAAACACTGCTCAGAGTCTGTTTTTGTCGTAGCGGTGGAGTCCAGGCTGACCATGGATACAGGGGTATTCACTGTACCAAGTAGCTGTAAGCCGGGCTGTAGAGCTTTAGGTGGGAGGATTCACAGCCTTGCATGAGTGTACACTCAGAGCGGCCAGGAAACAGCTGGTTGTGCCGCATGAGGTTAGAAAATGACTTGAACTGACAGACGGTAACAACCAACACTCAGTCACTGTCATCTAAACAGCAACACAGGTAATGAGTCAAAGTATTTGGAGCTTTCCATCACAGCAGGGCGGCATTATGTCGCCCAACCCACTGGATTTAATTTATTAATCACTACTGATGAAATTCAGTGTGTATAGCTGCCTCCTAATGATGATAAACCATAGCCGATAATGTACTCAGTCTGTTATGAAGCCACACAATGCTTGGCAAATCTTTAGGAGATAGCTCTCTATTAATAGGTCGAAGATACACATTCAACTGGGATCTCTTAATTCCAGGGAAAGCCATTTTTCCTGGTGGGGAACAAAAGAGAATTACCAAGGCTCAGCCTTCAAAAGATAGCTCATGCAATGCTGAGCTGAATCTTTTTGAATATTGATAATAGTGTGTGAGTATGGTGGCGGACCGGTCAGCAAATATAAGAGAAGGATAAAGAGCTGCCAGTCATCACCTTAGGGTTGGTAATCCTCACCTCCGCGTCTAAAGGTCAGGAAAAGGTTGTGTAGGCCAGCGGAAAATGAGTCACCATCACACACAGCAGCACGTGAGCTGCAGCGGGCTTACAGTAGCCACGTGTGCAGCGTGATTGTGGGAATACATCACTTAATGGGCGCTAAGCTCCCTGTTATTTTAAAGGGTGTAGTTAAGAATGATACTCACTGTGTCTGGATGCCTCTGTGACAGAAAAACGTAATCAAACGTTTAAGCAGACAGAAATGATGCAGGTATTGAATTTGGAATTTGGAATCTGAATGTGAACAGCTTTTATCCCCCTGAAAGATTCTGGGCACAAGAACAAATCGCTCTCTTAGGGTCTTCATGGGGTGCTGAGGTTGCCATATATGGGGCCTTGGATGTGCTGGAGGTTCATTTAAACCTCATTCTCACTTTGCAATGCTGCCTTGACTGACGGCAGTCAAATAGAGCATCTCGTAACAGTCGATGTTGTGTGACTGTCCTGCATTCAGTCGTGCGTTTGAAAGGTCTGAGTTCTTCAGCTTTGTTGAAAAATTCTTATTCAGTTTTATGGTCATTATCAAGGATGTATTTTTGGATTCTGGATAGGGTTATGCATGTCTCTACATTGCAAGCAGTGGCTTTGGCTTACAGTTGGTCTTCTGCTAATTGGGAGGTTGGTGGTTTAATCCCTCGCTGCTCCAATCTGCATGCCAAAGCATCCGCGGGCAAGATACTGAAACCCCAGTTGCTCCTGATGCATTCACTGTGTGTGAGTGTGTGAATGTTAGATTGTGTGTTTGAATGAGTGTGTGTCAATAGGGGAATGACTCATATTTGAGCACTCAAGTACTGAAGAAAAGCCCCATTTACAGCTTTAACATTTGTGAGATTCATTGCAAGACTGTGGCATTAGTATTAATTCATTTGGCACATAAACTCACAGCTGTCTTGAGTCACATTTTCAGGGATTTTATTAAAGTGTCCAGAGTATACAAAAAGTATTTATTGGTTTCTGCATTTGACAGACAAAAAAGTGTGCGAAATCCCCAAACCTCCACATAAAAACTGCTTTTACTTATCAGGGCTTCTAGTCAAATTTTCAGGTTTTTCTACTTCAAAAACACTTTTTTTCATAGTAATATTGTATTCATTATTAATAATGTAGCAACAAACAGCACAATGTAGATATTTTTATTACGTTTTTTGTGTAAACTTCTTATATAAGTATATGAAATGTGTCTTAGAGAGTTGACTGTGGATTCAGCATTGTGATGGAAAGATTTTGGTCCATACTGAGATGACAGCATCACACAGTTGCTGCAGATTTGTCAGCTGCACATCCATGATGTGAATCTCTCGTTCCGCTGCACGTGAAAACTCCTCTGTTGGACTGACGTGTGGTGACTGTTGAGGCCATTTGAGTACAGTGAACTCATTCTCATATTTAAGAAACCAGTCCGAAATCATTTTACACGTGACGTTGTGTGTTATCCTGTTGGAATCAGCCTGTTATTAGAAGATTTAAGATGGCGGCACGCACAGACGCAGCGGCCCGGAGCTCCTACACTTTTGCAC